GAAGGGGACGGGGAGCGAACATAACCATGACTGCCTGAGCCTCTGGCCTATACCCCAGTTCTGTATGCACAAAAAAAAAAAAAAAAAAAAAAAAAAAAAAGCTAAATACAGCAGTATGTAAGGATTAATTTCCAAATAATCCTAAATAGGAAAATGATATCAGCAACTAGACATTCTACTTTGTTGCCATTAGTACAAGATTTTAAGAAGTTTTATAAAAATGGAATAAACCATTGTAATAAAAATAGTAGCTATTACTGACACTTTCATTTTTTTGTGCTATGATTCCAGAAACAAAAGTAACCCCAATAATGGACTAGTATAAGTAAAAAATTTCATCTCATACTTTTCCTCAAATTCTGGTGTGCTTATTTCCAAAATCAAATTTGGTATAATAATAAAAATAATATGCGATGGCAACCCTAGGATTTACAGTCATCACATTCCATCCTGGTGTTCTTACTCCTTTACTGCCCTGCATAACTGTTTTTCTCAGCTAACTCTCTTGAGATGTTGTCTTTTTCCACAAAAGCTTAGCTTCACTAGCTCTACTTCTTTAATATTTGAGATGTTTTTGTTCACTTAATCTTCACTCTTTTATCACAAAGTCACAACTTGGACTTGCTTGTTCAAAGTTACATTATTAAGAATATCTCAAATTCTCACATTCCCTAATTACTTTCTTCTTCACTGACTTGTTCTATGCCCTCACTGTGAGTTGTTCTTTGCCCTAAATAAGAGCTAGCAGTTCCCAGCAAACACTCTTACCCCAAGCAGGACCACCTATGCTAGACTTCCTAGCAATTTCCTCTTCCTTGGCCATACAACAGCTTATGTAAGTTGTTCCTAGAGTGTATATTCCTAAAGTATAACTGCTATTTAAATTTCTGTATCTCCAAAAAGACTATCTTGGTTTACACTGCCACTAACAATGTATGAGTGTTTCTTCAGAGACTCCAATAGAGAATATTAAAAGTCTTTTGAATGCCTAATGGAAAACAATTTAAATTCTGTCTTAAATAGACATGCTGCTCTAAGTGGGATCATAATCACTTTTAAAATCTGGTTCCCGGGCCCTCCTGGTGGCGCAGCGGTTTAAAGCACAGCACTGAGAATCTAAAGCTGCTTCCGCATGAGTTCAATTCCCGCCTGCCCCAGATGTGACCACATGGTGTAGCAGACCTCTCCTGACCCGCCCGCTGCTCCCCTCAGCAGTGTACTTCGTTGATCTGCCTGTTCTGCTCCCCACTCTGTCTCTGGTGAAACCTCTCACCGCCCTGAGCCTCTGGCCTGTACCCCAGTTCTGTATGCACAAAATAAATAAATCTTTAAAAAAAAAAAAATCTGGTTCCCACCAAAGTTCTACAGCACTCATACTCAGTTTATCTCTTATGAGCACAGGACTATGAGAACCACTTTATTCTGTGCGCTTGGGTTCTGCACCTACCTCTCTGACAACGTCTCTAGTTACTTTTGCTACCAATTGTAACATCCCTCTCAGCAACTGCTAAGGATTGATCTACTCCTCTCTTCATTTGCCTCTTGGAAATCTCATTCAAGCCAGAATTTCTCCTCCTACAGATGACTCCCAAATCGCCATCTCAAGCTCTATCATTTAACTGCACGATCTGTATATCTGACAAAATGGACATGGTAAATGTCTTGATTTTGTTGATGGAAAAAAGATGAAAAGACAAGTATACCAGGAATGAGAAAAGATGTTCCAATGATGTTCAAAAGATGTTCCAATGATATGTCCAAAGACATCCACATAAAAGCCATCTCTCTTTCTTCACTAGCCCTGCTCTATCTCAGATGATGACCAATCTTGTTTCTGTCTCTTCCTCATTCCCCACAACTAGTTATAATTAAGTCCTTCTGATTTTATCTTAACAACATTCTTTCAAGCAGGACTTTTCTGCCATTCCCAGTGTCAACATATCTGAGGTTGTCACTAACGTGCACAGGAAATAACTGACATGGTCTTACTGTCCTCTTGCTACTGGCCCTGCCCCCAGTCCACCTCATGCACCCTGGTATAAATGCTCCTCTGCTCATGTCATCTGCCTCCTGAACTAAAAGGCAACATTTTAGTTGTAATTCAAAATGTCAAACTTCAAAATAAAATTACCATTTTTCCGGTGCAACAACACTAGTCTTCTAGTGTTGGACTACTGCTTGGGCTTCCAGTTTTACTGAGCTCTATGCTAAGTCCCAAATGTAGCTAACCACAGTAGCCAAGTCAAAAAAATACTTTCATTATGGAAGCTTCCTGTTACTACTTAAAACTGGTTTCTGTAGTACTTTTACCTATATTTAACTTATAGAATGTAGTTACATTTTTATTTACAATTCTATAAAATCAAGGTGGCATAACTATGAAGCACAGTGTTCCATCATACTAGATCACCAAGACATGTCAAGAGTGAATAAAGCCACGGCACTCACCTGGCCGAAGGTAGAGGTCTGAGGATGCTGCAGCAATTCGATCCCGTTCCCGCTCCCGCTCCCGCTCCCGCTCCTTCTCCCGTTCCCTCTCCCGCTCCCTTTCACGTTCTCTTTCCGCACTTGCAGCTGCTGCCAGGTGTGTTGAGTGTCCTGTAAAAGACAAATATAGATCTGCAACTTAAAGACAAAAATGCTCCAAATTTGAGATGCAGGAAGTTTGCTTTATTAAAAGTGTTATATGACAACTGAAGCATAAAACAAGCTTTTGGGCAGTCTGGTAGCAGGTGGCATATAGGAATTATACATTTTTTTTTAAAGATTTTATCTATCTATGCATACAGAAATGGGGTATAGGCCAGAGATGCAAAGGCAGTGAGAGGATTCACCAGAGACAGAGTGGGGAGTAAAACAGGCAAAAATCAACAAAGTACACTGCTGAGGGGAGCAGCAGGTGGATCAGAAGAGGTCTGCCACACCTCTAGGATAGAGCTCAAACTCGCACTGAAGCAGATATGACTTGGCTTAGCTTCACAGTGCAGTGCTCCAACCTGTGGCCAAAATTATTACTATTAAATTTTAAAAAAACAGCATACTGAATACGAAAGACTGCCAAAATATCTTCAGTGGTTATACTGTAAACACTGGAGCATGTTGCTCGTACCGGAGGGATACATGACTACAGACTCTTACCTGGAGACATAGAAGCAGAGTTGTATGGCCTGGGAGGGAAAGCAATCTGTGTACCAGGAATATAAGTGATTCTGTCCATGGGAGGAGTACTTGTTCCCCCTGGATGAGGCACTAAAATTGCTGGAGGCATATTGGTCAGGTCAATGATTCCTGTTCAAAAGACAAATACAATAAAATAAAGTTAAATTTAAGCATTATTCTGAATACACAGAACTACATATGACTTTATAACTTAATGGCACTTTGTATACAATATAAAAATATTTAAGATGACCACTATTTGTAAATCCTTTTTGTAAATCCTTCTAGAGAAGAATGTGAACTACTGTCTCATACTAGTGACATAAATGTATGGACAGATTAAAGAGGGACAACAACTTGATAAAGTACTGATTATAAATACATAACAGTGACGTGGTACAGTATTCAAGTGTTTACCAAGACACCCTTTTCTTGATACATTACAGTGTTTGCCCTCAATTGCTCAAGGTGACAGGGACAAGGATATGGCTGCCTTCTCTTTCTTTCCACCATTTATCAGTAGTACTTATTTAATATCTAAGAAGGCTTGGATATACATAGTAAATTCTACAAAATCTGAACTACAAAGATACATACCTCTTGTTGCTGGGTATGGGAGACCCAGCTGCTGCTCCCGGGGGGAGAGCCCTCTAGCCACATCTGGGCGCAAGTTCACCTGCATTTGCTGTGAGGTAATGTAATCATTTAGGATTGTCTGCCTTGTGTTCTCCATTGCATAAAGCTGATATTGACTTGGGTAACCTGGAGTTGGTGAAAGCTGTCTCTGAAACAGGTAAGCAGCAGCTGCTAATTGAAAGAATGGAAGAAGAAAGGCATTTAGTATAGTCTGAAAAAAAATTTATTTCTTAAATATCACCTACAGAAAGAGCAATGGAACACTATTTGCTAAACTAATGGACACACAACTTTTATTTAGCATGGGGACAGATTAGGGTGGATTTATCACATACCTTGATATATATTCTAATGTCAGATGTAATGGAAAAAGGGAAGAGAAACTAGACAAAATAATTAACATTTCTAACAGCAGAATAGCAGCTTTATTTTTGAATAGCTTTCTATGTTTGCCATCTTAACTTTACTATATATTCACTGGAAGTCTCCGAACATTGTGTTTAAAAATAAAATCATTTTTGTAGTAATGATCATTTAACACATCTAAATGGAAACATGTGAATACATATTAGGACAAATAGTGTCTTTACTTTCCTGGGGATAAAATGATTAGTATATAAGCATTTGATGAATGCGTGTACTCAGAGGGCAGAATGCTCTATAGGGAAAGGAGATGAGCAAACTTTTTGTGAAAGGGCCAGATGGTGATTTTTAGGCTTTGTGGATCATCCACCTATTCAACTCTGTCATGGTAGGGTGAAGATAGGCATCCTAGATAGATGCTCAGCAAATGGGAGTGGCTGTGCTGGAATGGAACTTCATACAGAAACAGCCAGCAGCAGAATTTCACTCCCAAGACAGAATTTGGTAAATATGTTGAAAAATAGGAAATAAAGTTTTATCCTTAAAACATTTGTAATCCAGCTGAGGCTCAAAAATCACAAGCAAATGAAACTTCAATAAATTAAGAAAGGACTATGATAAAACTAAAGCATAATTTATCTCAGTGAACTAAGATATTTAATACATATTCTCCCTAGAAAAACAAATGACGGCCCTCCCTGGTGGCGCAGTGGGTTGGAGCACTGCACTAAGAGGCCTAAGCCACCACCGCATGAGTTCGATCCCTGCCTGCCCCAGAGGAGATCCACATGGCGTGGCAGACCTCTCCTGACCCACCCAATGCTCCCTTCAGCAGTGTAGTTCATAGATCTGCCTGTTCTTCCGACTCTGTCCCTGGTGAATCCTCTCACCCTCCCGCATCTCTGGCCTGTACCCCAGTTCTGTATGAATAAATAAATCTTAAAAAAAAAAAAGAAAAACAAATGACAAGTTCCCTGGAGTATTTTCTTCTCTATCTAGAACCCCCAGCCAAGTGAGTCTGAGAACCAACTCAGGAAATTCCACTCCAGTTCTAAGACAGTTTGAGAACTAGGTTCCTCTAAAACTTACGGATCTTTTTATTTTTTAAAGATTTATTTATGCACATCAGAACAAGAGATGCAGGGGTTAGCAGAACAGCAGACTGACTGAAATACAATGCTAAGGGGAGCAGCGGATGAGACAGGAGAGGTCTGCTGTGGGTCAGCTACATGGCTGGAGCTCGTGCTGCAGTGGTGGCGGGTAGCTTCATAGGGCTGCAGTTTAACCCACAGCACCACCAAAGAGGGCTCTATTTTTTTTTCTTTCAATTTTTTAAAAAGTATTTATTAAAAAAAAAAAGTATTTATCTATCTTGTAGAAGAGCTGGAGTTTAGGGGCCAGTGGGGTGAGAGGATTCACCAGAGACAAGAGTGGCGGATTTGCTGAAATACACTCCTATGGGAAGCAGCTGGTGAGTCAAGAGAGGTCTGCTTCACCAAATAATGGTTAGCTCCCTGGCCAGTGATTGAATTCAGGTCCATACTGGTGATAGTGCTAAGACTTAACCCCTACGCCTCTAGAGAGGTGCTAAAACTTAAATGTTCTTAAGTGACAAATAATTTGAAGGCACTAATGTAGCTTTTAGAGAAAATGTTTTCTATAGGTAACTTGCTAAATGTAAATAACTCTTAGAAAACAGCATTCTAATTTGCCATGCTAGTATGCTTCCCTAAGGATAAGGTGAACACAAGTGTTCTGTATCCCATTTTTAGCTTAAAGAATGCAATAAGGCAGCAGGATGGAGAAGTATGGACAGAAAACATGGCATTTGAGTGAGGTGTAATGAGCACAAGGAGCAGGGACTAGGATGTGGGAAGACAGGCAGAGCCAGCAGGGACCCCACTGATTGCTGGCAGCGCCACCGCTCTCTGCCTTTACAGAGCATATGGCCACGGGCCCAGTACAAACTGCTCTCTGGTAAAGCCATATGCTTCTGCAATGCCAGGTTATATTTATCCCAAATCAGTGGTCATTTCAAAAATTTCTTCCAGAAATAGCTATGTCACCTAATGAAATAATCTGTAAATCGATAAAAGAATGAAGAGTAGTTTCTCTAAAAACTAAGGTGACTGCTTTGGAAGAGAGTTGATGAATCATGTTAGGACGATACAATTTTTAAAAGTAGGAAAAAATCGGAAAGGATTTTGTATTTAGATTGCTTTGAGGTGTCTTCAAATCCTAGCTTCACGTAAATAAATACCCAAACTTAAAAATGTGTGTATTGGGCCCTCCCTGGTGGCGCAGCGGGTTAAAGCACAGCACTGAGAAGCTAGAGCCACTTCCGCATGAGTTCGATCCCCGCCTGCCCCGGAGGTGACCACATGGCGTGGCAGACCTCTCCTGACCCGCCTGCTGCTCCCCTCAGCAGTGTACTTCGTTGATCTGCCTGTTCTGTACCCCACTCTGTCTCTGGTGAATCCTCTCACCCTCCACATCTCTGGCCTGTACCCCAGTCTGTACGAATAAATAATAAATAAATCTTTAAAAAAAAAAAAGTGTGTATTATTTTTATAAGGAAGAATATGTTGAGTTTTAATTAGTGGACGTTGGTCTTAGATCAGAACACCAGTAAATTAATGTCACTGTTGTAAGTTGAAATATTTAAGGTATGCCTGCATCATTTAAAGCTTATTCTCCACATTAACCCACGTTTCCATTTACCTTAACTAAATACTATCAGGTTAAGAGGGCTTTTCATCTATTATTTTCAGTTCTTTCAAGGGTGTTGGTAAGTAATTTGTTTCTTGATTTAAGAATTGGTAACAAAGAGATGTGCAGTTTGTGGAAATTTTCTGCACTGTATACCAATGATCCGTGTGCAACTGTCTACATATTGTACTTTAATGAATAGAAAAGGGAAATGTTTAAAAAAGGCACACAAGTATACAATTTCTTTGCCTAATAAAACACTCTACACTTTCCTTACCAGGATCCAGAGCCCTGTGAAACGGCATGGCTGGGTCCAAATGTGTGGGAAGGTGGCTCCGATAAACCTCTCCCGCGGTGCTGCCCCTGTGATGTGGGTCAAAAGGGCTATGGCTTACTACAGGGTCCACGCTGGGAACTGGAGACTTTGCTGGTATACTTTCCCTTTGGGTAGGAGTCAGTGTTGATTTTCTTTCATGATTAGTAGACTTACTAGAGGAAATTGTAACTGGGAAAAAAAAGAAACCAACATCACAAATTCTTAAGAAAACTAGCTAAGAATGATAATATACTTACCCGAAATATTCAAAATAGTCTGTATTCATATATTTTGATTTTCTCTTTTCACTAAACATTTAATATTCAAGCGTACAAGACAAACCAAGTCTGAAAAACTAGCAGAAATTTTTGAGAATTGGAGATTCCCACCTATGGACGGCAGCATACAGAATTTTCCACCCAATGTTAAGATTAAAAGTAAAGTTCCAAACTCCTCCTTAAGTCCTATCATAATCCCATGTTGTCAAAACCAGTAGTTTCATCTTTTTTTTGTAGTTTGATAGTATCCCATTGCATGCCACCTCTTCATTCGTCAATAGACACCTAAGTTGTTTCTATATCTTGGCTATTGTAATAATGCTGCAATGAATACAGGGGCACACATATCTTTTCAAGTTTTATTTTCATATTCTTTGGATAAATAGCAAAAAATAGCTGGGACATATGATATTTCTAATTTTCAGATTTTATTATTCTTTTTAAATATATCTTTTTTTTAATTGTGGTAACACTGGTTTACAACATTGTATGATTTAAAGTACAGGTCTACCACTCTTTGAGTTGACTGTTAACACACCATGCTCACCACCAAAGTACCCATAATTCTCCACCACAATCCAGTGGGTCTCTCCCCCTTTGATCCTGGAGTAGATTCAATTCTACAGTCAGATTTGTAGAGTTTGTTTTAGTTTAGTCTATGTCTTTGTTTAGTTTCTTTATATTCCACAAGTTAAAACCATTTTGTATTTGTATTACTCCTCCTGATTTATTTCATTTAACATAATCCCTACATGGGTATGTATATATTCCTTCAAATTGGTATTTTATATTCTTCAACTATACACCAAGGAATGGAACTGCTGAATTATATGGCAGATCTATTTTTATTATTTTGAGAAATATCCACAATTTTTTTTAAGATTCTAAAAATTTAATTCTATATATAAGAACTGAGATCTAGACCACATGTGTCGGGGGAGGGGTGCAGTGGGAGGGAGGGTGAGGGGGTTCACCAGAGACAAAGTGAGGTGACAGGATTCACCAGAGACAGAGTGAGGAGAGGAATATGAGGATCCACTGAAATATACTGCTGAGGGAAGCAGTAGGCAAGACAGGAGAGGTCTGCTGTGCCATGTGTGGGTCAGCTCCCTGGCTAGGATTAAACTCATGCCATAGTGGTTTGCAACAGTTGGACAGTGCTGAAACTTTAACTACCCTGCACCACATGGGAGGCCCTCCAAATGCTTCCCATTGGGGCTGGACCAATCCATGAGCCCACCAACAGTGTACAAGGGTTTCTTTAAGTGAAATAAGTCAAATGGAGAAAGATATCTATGATTTTTTTTTTAAAGATTTATTTATTTATGTATACAGAACTGGGGTACAGGCCAGAGGTGCAAGGGCGGTGAGAGGATTCACCAGAGACAGAGTAGGGAGCAGAACAGGCAGATCAACAAAGTACACTGCTGAGGGAAACAGTGGGCGGGACAGAAGAGGTCTGCTGCACCATGTAGGTCAGCTCCAGGGCAGGACTGAAGTGGCCATGGCCAGCTTCTCAGTGCTGCACTTTAACCTGCTGTCAGAAAGGGCCCATACCTATGATTTCATTCATATGAGGACTATGAAGAATCAAAAAATTTTTAGGTACAGAAAACAGATTGGTGGTTACCTGAGGGGAGTGAGTAAAACAGGTAAAAGAGGGGCCTTCCCTGGTGGTGCAGTGGGTGAAAGCACAGCACTAAGATGCTAAAGCCACCTCAACATGAGTTCGATCCCCAGCCCCAGAGGTAACCCACATGGCATGGCAGACCTCCTGACCCGCCCACTGCTCCCCACAGCAGTGTACTTTGTCAATCTGCTTGTTCTGCTCCCCACTCTGCCTCTGGTGAATCCTCTTACCACCCCTGCACCTCTGGCCTGTACCCCGGTTCTGTATGAATAAATAAATAGGAAAACAAAACAAAACAAAACAGGTAAAAGAGGTCGATTGTATAGTGATGAATGGAAATTAGTCTTTTAGTGGTGATCATGACGTAGAAAATACAGATGTTAAATTTTAAAGCTGTACACCAGAAACTTAGATAATGTTATAAGTCAATGTACCTCAATAAATACTTTTTAAAAATTCTATTGTAAATGATTTTGTTTTCTGTATTATTTTAACATCCTAGCTTCTTTGGCTCCCACATGTAACAAATCTTAATTTCCTCTCTTTACCTTCATTACCTAGACTTTCTGCTGCCTGTTAGTCACACTTCTACCACTTTCCTTGCCCTGTATTTCATTCAGCAGCCTTTGCATTATCTCACTAGCATCAATATCTTCCCTATGCCAGTCTCTTCTAAACGATGCTATCCAAAGAAGTTAGATTATCCTACCAATGTCTTTCATATCCAACTATTTATTGGTTTCAACTGTTTTAAATTGTGATAAATTACAACAGAACTAAAATTTACCAGTTGACTCAGTTGTGTGACTTTCAGTACACTCACAATATACAACAGTCACCACTGTCTCTTTAGTATTTTGATGTCAACTTTGCCGTGCCTATTGAACCTGCCTACTGAAACAAGACATCATCCGGCCTTGTAACATCTCCTTTCCAAACTCTGATCTTCTCATACATTGAAGTCAAGTGCCTTTTCCCTGTGCAGGGCACTTGTTTTCCTTTAAAACTAGAGCCAAAGGCTTTAGATTCAGGATCCTACTCATAAGTAGACACTTTCCATTTTCTCCTTCCTCTTTGCTACTCCTCTTCCCCTACCAAAAACACCATTTTACAGCTCTCACAATGTCCAGTCCAAGACCCTGCATGTGAGCCCTTAGTTAACATAAATTGTAAAATAAGATTTAAAATTCAAGTCTAAGTAGTCCTGCTTCAGAGCTTATATTTTCCACTACACTACTACTGCTGCTTAAAAAGAAAAACAAACAAACAAACAAACAAACAAAAAAACCTGTCAAAACTGACTTCCAGGAAAAAGGATTAGCTGAAAAGCCAGCCTAATAAACTTATTCCAGAACATTTCTGAACTCTACTATCCTCTGTATTTAATTTAAATATTAGGTATTTTGGCCCTCCCTGGTGGCGCAATGGGTTAAAGCACAGCATTGAGAAGCTAAAGCCACTTCCGCATGAGTTCGATTCCCGCCTGCCTGCCTGCCCCGGAGGTGACCACATGGCGTGGCAGACTTCTCCTGACCTGCCCGCTGCTCCCCTCAGCAGTGTACTTTGCCGATCTGCCTGTTCTGCTCCCCACTCTGTCCTTGGTGAAGCCTCTTGCCGCCCCTGAGCCTGTGGCCTGTACCCCAGTTCTGTATGCACAAATAAATAAATCTTTTAAAAAAAAATATATATATATATTAGGTATTTTACCTATAGTTATGCCTGTTTTTAATTTGGTAGCCTCCCACAGACCTAAAAATCCTGTCACAAAGAAGCTAACAACTAGACATTTACTACTTGCCAAAGCAATAAAGTACAATAAAAGTATCAGACAAGGATACAAGAGTAACATACCATCAGAAGTTCTGCTCATCATTGGTGAACCTCTGGACATGGTGTTTTGGTAACTCACAGGTGTCCGCCGTGCACCAGTATCATCATAAATCCCTGGGCTCAGCTGTGCTTTGGGAGCTTCATGAAGTGTTGACCTAAGAACCGAGGGGCCAGAGCTTACCACCGATGTATGCCGGGAACGCACTGTTTCGCCTGCTTTCACATCCTCATATTTTCCTCGTTCTACTACTTTTATATTCTCTGGTACAATTTCCAAAGGAGGCATTCCACGGGGTAGTTTGCTAGGCCCAGTAATTAAGGATTTGACATTGTGTTTGATTGCAGATTGACCTGAGTTGCTGTCAAACTTTATTGGTGTACCCTAAAGGGAAAGAAACAAATTATTTATATCTAAAATATTTTTCCATCTCAAGCCTATGTTTGGCTCATGGCAATACTAGCTTGCTGTTAGTAGTCTTTACTTTCAGTGTTGATGGTTTAGTCACAAGCCTACCAATTCTGACTTACAGATCTTCCAACATCTATACTCCATAGAGCACAGATGAAGGTTTCGTGCTTACTTCTAAGAGAACTGAGAGCATAAGAATTCGTTATAATTATTAAGTCATTTTTTAAAAAATTCCATAAATACTACCATCTAGTGAGATGCTGACAAAAAGAACCATGACACAGTTACCTGGGAGATGGAGCCCTCAATTATCGGCCTTGCACTCTGTACTACTTCTGGTGTTTTTCGACTTTCCTGAGTTAAAATATCTTGGCGTGGAATCTCATGGATGGAACGCCCCATCTCTTTGATAGTGGTAATGCCATCGTAAGGTTTTCCTTTCGTAATGGCACCTTCAAATGCGCGTATGGGAGGACTCTCCCTCTTAATCTGTTTGGGATACTTAAGGCCATCTTCAAAGCTGTCAGTTGTTGCTCTTGGTGTGCCTTCAAAAAAGAATTCAAGAAACATTAAAGTAATAGTGGTGGTTGCACAGCGATGCCACTGAAGCATAACTTATAATCATTAAAAGACTGATGTCCTGTTGTCTTACAGTTTCTAATCAATTTTGTGTTTATAACCAATACTCATGTAAGTTTTCATTAGTCTTTTTTTTAGGGTCACTGAAGATTTAATACATCATTAATCACAATCACAAATTGTTTATGGCACACTAAAGATAAGCTATATCGACATATTAGGCAACTACCCACATTCAAGTAATGTTTTTAGCTCAAAGATGAAAGAGCTAAAAGCAAGACTTAAAATATACAACATTTAAAAAAAGAAACTATTTTGAAAAATAGATTTAATATACTGAAAATTAATGTCAAACTACTTTGTCAATGAGATAGTAATAAATAAAAACCAAAACATGCAAAAACTTTACCCTGCATTATGGAACCTGACAGCACAGTCCTTTCTTTGAGGTCAGAATGAGGGCTCCCCCTGGGTAGTGCTCGGCATATTAATCCTTATAAACAAGAAAGCAATTTAGGTATTAAACATAATGTATATCTGTCCACACATACTTACTATCCCTAGCTTTTTTCAGAAAAGCTCTATGAAAAAAGGGGTATTTTAAGTAATTCAAGAAGATTATTATGGAAAAAATAAAAGTTGGAAGAAACCAACATGACATCATTTCTTTCCTTTTAAATAGCTTTCCTTAACAGAAATGGCAACAGTATAGATCCATTAGAGATTAAATTAAAATCTAAAACCACAGTGTTTCCTTACTAAGGTAAGAAAAAATGTAGAGGGACTGGAAATCATGATTTAGCTTTGAAATATATCTGTGATATTTCCGTATTTCACATGCAATAGGAAAAATATATTAAATGAACCATGCAAATCAAAATGAGAGATGTAAATAATCTCTTAAGTTTCACATTATACTGATGATAAACTTGAAGCAAGGATGGAGTAAACATATGCATTTATAGTAATATAAAGGAAAAGTGAGATTTGTTTGCTTTTTAATGTAGACAAAACCTAGCTCTTAGAAAATTACACAGGATTTCTATAATAGAGGAGTCATTACATGGCCTTTAGCATTTCATCTAAATTAAAATTAATCTAGTTAAAGTTTAAGATAAGAAAGTGAGTCAGTAACAAAACCAAGCTACCATTGACTGAGCAGCAATCACTAGGTCAGCATGAGGTTGGACAACTGTCTCTAGTCATGTTATGTACATTTTCTTACTGTACAGAGGATGAACAGAGGAGTCACCAAGAAAGGGTGAAGCTGGAGATTAAAATACATGCCTTTGCTCTATCCATCATATCACTTTATCTGCCTCACAATACAAAGTTCCTATAATGAACTTTACATTTTTAAATTAATTTCACTCAAATAGGAGTAATCTACAAATAATACGAACATTCTAATAGTTACCTATATGACCAATTACATTTACTTTTTACTTTAGTCCACAGAAACAATTTATACTCAGACATAAATATAAATTTAAGCTTTCATTAACATAAATATAAATTTCAAGTGAAATAGAAAGATTAAATATAGCCTAAAACAACACTGAAAACAACTGTACTAAAATAAAATATATCTTAAGTAGTATCTTCTGAAATATTATACCCTCTAATGGTGCTGATACAGGGGACTCTCTCAATGATAATCCTTGCTTTATATTTCCTTCCACTGACTCATAGCTTCTTTTCAAACTGATTTCATGGGCTGTTCTTGGACTCCTTGTCCCTTCTCGGGCATTCTTAATATCTGCAAAATATATAAATACAAATTACTCAAGAAAAAAAAAATTCTGATTGCCTTTTCATGTGGTTTTAAAATTCATGATGATGAATACTAAACAAATTTTATATATTATTAGCTAATTTAAATAAATGTTTTAATTTAATTTAAAAATTAAAAAAATTGTGGCCCTCCCTGGTGGCGCAGCGGGTTAAAGCACAGCATTGAGAATCTAAAGCCGTTTCCGCATGAGTTCGATTCCCGCCTGCCCCGGAGGTGATCCACATGGCGTGGCAGACCTCTCCTGACCCGCCCGCTGCTCCCCTCAGCAGTGTACTTCGTCGATCTGCCTGTTCTGCACCCCATTCTGTCCCTGGTGAATCCTCTCACCCTCCGCATGTCTGGCCTGTACCCCAGTTCTGTACGAATAAATAAATATTTAAAAAAAAAAAAAATTAAAAAAATTACTCAAGAGTCCAAGATCTATTTTACAATAAATAAGTTATCTTAATTCCACAGTCTACCTTATAAAAGTAATAATATAAAGCTAGTCTTTTTTAAAAATTTATTTATTCATACAGAACTGGGTTACAGGCCAGAGTGTGTACGGGGCGGTGAGAAGATTCACCAGAAACAGAGCTGGGAGCAGAACAGGCAGACCGAAGTACACTGCTGAGGGGAGAAGAAGGCGAGACAGGAGAGGTCTGCTGCACCATGTGGGTCACCACCCTGGCCCAGGATCAAATTCTTGCTGAAGCAGCTGCAGCCAGCTTTACAGCACTGTGCCTTAACCTGTTGTTCCACTAGTAAGTACCCCAAAAAACTAGCCTTAAGCAACAAAATATATCAGTGCAGGTGATATTTACAAAAATGTTTTCATTCATTGAAATGTATGTATTGAATGTCAGGTGCAAGCTTACAAGTAAGGTTAAAAATTAAGTCACTTTCCTCATGAGACTTACCCACTAAAATATACAATTCTTCCTCCTATTCAGTAGAAATAACATTATGATAATATGCTTTGTGAATCCTGGAACGGAAATCTACAACTTAAAGTTTAGATAAGGCTGCTCTGAAGAAGTAAAGTTTAAGCTGTGAATTGAAGGCTAAATAAATAAGAATTACTTAAGTTAAAGGAAGGAGAGGTGGTACAGGTGACACAGACTCCCAAGGCAAGACAAAGGATGGCGCATAAGAGAAGTTAAGCTCAGTAAATACCAATGGGTACAGTGGACCTAGGAAGAAGGAAGGTGTGGTGAGGAGGGAGAAGGGGTTAGGAGAAGAAGTGGGAAAGGAACAATCTAAAGAGATGCACTGGGGGCCCTCCCTCGTGGCGCAGCGGGTTAAAGCACTGCACTGAGAAGCTAAAGCCACTTCCACATGAGTTCGATTCCCGCCTGCCCTGGAGGTGACCACATGGCGTGGCAGACCTCTCCTGACCCGCCCGCTGCTCCCCTCAGCAGTGTACTTCGTCGATCTGCCTGTTCTGCTCCCTGCTCTGTCTCTGGTGAAGCCTTTCACTGCCCCTGAGCCTCTGGCCTGTACCCCAGTTCTGTATGTACAAATAAATAAATCTTAAAAAAAAAAAAGAGATGCACTGGAAGTATGGGGGTGCAGAAACCATGGTAGGCATTACAATTATCTTAAAGGTAATAAATATGATGTACAATTTCAAATATAGGTAAGAGTTATGGCAGAGTGATCATTCAATTAAATACCAATTTATCCAGATGAAAGATGGTGGTAGCAAAAGGGAATATAGAGAAATGGACAGACTTCAAAGACTTGAGAAAATAAACAGGAATGATTTAGTGATTGACTAGCTGGATGTGCAAAGAGAAGTCAAGGATGACACCCAGATTTCTGGAGTAAGCAATATACATTAATATCTTTCCCTAGGAAAAAAAAAGTAAGTCAATATACATTTGAAATGTTAAAACAAGAAAGTAAGAAGGAAATAGGTAAGTTATCATGCACTCTGCATCAGGCATAATGTGCTTACATACTTTATTTCTTTGTATTTGAGAGACAAAACATGACAACTTGGATTACAAAAATAGTTGCAAATAAGAGCACAGATCTAGTTTTATACCATAACTGAGCATCTTTATAAAATAATACAGGGAAAAAATAACACCATTTTCTAAAGAAAGTATTTGCAGGTAGACATTAAAAGTTATATTTAAGGAGAATTTAAGTTCATTATTTTTACCAAAATTATCAGATTATTATTTCTTCATTAATTCTTAACCTGTAAAATGGAAATTCCTTCAAAATAAAAGTGATTCTACTAAAGTTAAACAAATGCTCTTCACGTAGGCTCATCAACTGACCACAGCTGATGTTAGTTACCATTTCTAGGATCTGCACTTTTCATTTACTAGGAGTCACTTTTCATTGACTCCTAGTACATTTCTCACAAAACAGGTACTATTATTAACCCCTTTACAGAGAGGAAATGTGGCCTCAGGGAAGGACACTAATTTCCTTTAACAAATATGTAAGAAATAACAGTTGCGTTTTTAGTCACACAACACAGTACTGCTTGAGTGCTTACATACAATACTTACTATCATATGATAATATGTGTCCACTTTTGCCTTCATAAATAACATGGCCTTTGGAAGCAGCTTCCTCTCTGCCTTTCTCAGGACTGCTTTCTTCAATGGGAATTCTAGAAATGGATCCCTTCACCAATGCCTCACTTGGTATGCCAGCCTGGGACAGAGCTGGGGTACCCTGTCATCAAATCAAACAAAAGCACCAGAAAATTCAAGTCATGTCTGTTTAAAGGAAAGGCAAAATACTCAGAAATTGTAGGTAACCTAGAGTCAGATAATCCTTATCTTCAAAGAAAAAAGGACAAGCACTTGAGAAGAAATCAGAGATTATGTTTTATAAACAAAGAAATCGTACAGTTTTGTCCTTGAACCCCACCACAAAAAACTACTTAAAATGCTAGTCATTTTTTTTTTAAGATTTATTTATTTATGCATACAGAACTGCGGTACAGGTGCAGGGGGTAAGAGGATTCACCAAAGAAAGGGTGGAGCAGCTATGGGGAGCAATGGGCAGGTCACGAGAAGTATGCTGTACCCATGTGGGTTACTTCCCTGGCCAGAGATTGAATTTGTGTTGCAGTGGCTGCAGACAGCTTCATAGTGCTGTGCTTTAATCTGCTGCACCACCAGGGAGGGCCCAAAATGCTAGTAGTTACATGAGTTGAACTGACAGCTTTCTATTAACAGTAGCTTTCATAACTGTCATCTATCTTGATGTCAAATTCTATGAGGGCATTTAACTCTCAGAGAAAAAAAGCTTAAGACTTTTTTTCCTGTAAATTTAATAAGGTTTTTTCAAATTTTCTAAAGAAGACAAAGTTTTAAATTTAGTACCACAACTTTCTTTCAAATTGTGGCAAAAGAAAAATAGAAGTTTCAATTACCAAACTATGTATTATATCAGACCTCTGATCATCAATAAGAAGGGGAGATTAACTCAGCCTCTACTTTGCAACATGAATTCAGTCTAGGTCATGTTGCCTGAATGTTTGCCACCATTACTCCTCTTCTGGGTTCTCTGTTGTTAGTATTCTTTTACTCTTCCTTTAAAAGCAGTGAACTGTTTTTTCAAAAGGGAATCATTCAAGGAACATAAGATATAGAACCTTTTGTAAAAGTGATCTGCTTGGGGCCCTCCCTGGTGGCACAGTGGGTTAGAGCACAGCTCTAAGAAGCTAGAGTCACTTCAGCATGAGTTCGATCGCCGCCTGCCCTGGAGGTGACCCACATGGCGCGTCAGACCTCCCCTGACCCACCCACTGCTCCCCTCAGCAGTGTATCTTGCCCATCTGCCTATTCTGCTCCCCACTCTGTCTCTGGTGAATCCTCTCACCACACCTGAGCCTCTGGCCTGTACCCCACTTCTGTATGCATAAATAAATAAATCTTTAAAAAAAAAAAAAGTGATCTGCTTGAGTTGAAATGGGATTGGGAAGGCCAGAATTAGTCCACTCAAACATTTAGTACCTTTAAAACTAAAATGAGGGTAATCTGAAACTGCACATTTGAAAGCAGGAAGAATGGTGAAAATACATTTACTCATGCAGCTATACAGGTGGGCCCAGCAGAAAATATCTGAAAATTGTTAACACCCGCTTTGCAAATGCTCCTGTCTACACAGACATATTTCAAAATAAATACAACCTAGCCTCATTTGATGTTCTTTCTGTCTTCCTACCCAGAGTATGAAAACTACAGCTAAAATGAAGAAAAGATAATAAACACATGTCATTTACTTTTCTTCTGTCTATATATTAAAGTGTTCACTTGTTCTAACAACTAATTTGAACAGAATGTATACTTTGGTCAAATGTGGAAGAAGACATTTGTAGAATTAGTATATAACTTTCTAGATCACTATTTGCCATACATCCCATAAACCATGCATAGAGAGGAATCATCACAGAATCATCACAGAATCTTGTTAAAAATGTAAATTCTGCTTCAATAAGTTTAAAGTGGACACTGAAATATCTGCATCATTCTGACAAGTTCCCAGGTGAGGCTGATGTGCTAATGCACACCACTCTTGGTTAGCGAGGTTGTAAGTGCGGTTCTCAAACAGGCATGCATCACAATCACTGGAGTACTGGGACACACATATTGCTGGGGCCTGTCCCCAATAGTATGACTTAGTAAGACTAAAGTAAGGCCTGAACATTTCTATGTCAAGCCACTTCCCAGCTGATACTTCTGATTTGGGGGGTACACTTTGATAACCACTGTCTTAGGGCACATAAAGTGGGTTAGAACAGAAAACCTGTGACTGGTCCTGAGGAAACAGAAAACTTGTGACAGCTAAAATGTGCAAAATCACAGGATTCTGATTTCCCAAAACAGAACTTTTGTTTGCCAGATCTTTATTAGTAGGGTCTGAAGACTGTTCTACATTTCAAATTAAATTGCATCTGTGTAAAAGAAAAAAACCTTCTATTATCAAAATGGTGATTAATTAGCCTACAATTAGAAGATACTGATTTTTTGGCACTTTTATCAATGCCATCCATATCTCTAAGATTAGCATTAGATTATAACAAAACAACACATACACTGAGATTACAGATACTAATTTTTTCTAGGGCAAATACAGCAAATAATTTATAATTTCTATTTAAGCTAAAACCAGGAAGAAAGTCAGAACTGCATCAATTAGAACTTTATCCTGCCAGTTTGCATACAAGTGACCTTTTCGACTAAATAATAGTACAGGTAAGATAGCATGTGATCACAATGATATATTAAAATATCTTTCTGCAAATGGCTCATAGATCTGGGGTTTATCATCTCTGAGATGTAGTCACGTGACTCAGACTATGAACAACTTAATCACAAAACTATATTCCTGGAACAGCCAAAGCTCTGAAGACTTCCACTTTTGGTATCTATGGGGTGACTGGAACACACCTGGGTGATAGAGCCCCTCAGCGACGGGATACTGTCCACTGAAATTTTACTGGCTGGAGTTCCCCGAGTTACACTTCCTTCTTGAATGGCTCCTGTGGTACCTGAATAACAACAAAATCATCAGCAAACCAAACTCCCTACCTCTTCCACCAAAAATAAGGAAATAACACAAAAAAAAAAAACAGGAAAAAAGTACATATTTTATTAAAATATACTTTTAAAGTGATATTGTAAGTATTCAAGAAGATTGTTGAAGCAGAATCCAAAGTTTTAAACCATTTTTTAGAAAGAAAACATGAACTTAGAATTTAAATGCTCTAACTTGAAAGCTCATCATTAAAACATTTTAGTGACTAATTTAGTAAATTTACTGATATTAAATGTTTAATATTTTTTGCCAAACAGCGTATTTTACCTCTGACCACACCTTCATGTTGGGCCCTGACCAATAAACCTTCAGGTTGTGAATTCTGGCTTCGGGGTGAAAATTCTTCCTGCTTAATGTAGGGCACAGTAGCTATTGGCAAAAATAAGAGAAATGAGAAAAGATCAAATGCTGAATTATTGACTATCATACTACAAATACAGGAACATTACAGACATTAACTCACTGACCTGATTTGGTAGATTCCTGCTGCCGTGGGAGTCCAAGAGAGATAGAGCCTACCGAGGGCTTAGCTGTTTCTTGAGCATAAGAAGCCTGATTATGGGAAGTCAGGTAAGTGCCAGGTGTTCCCTAAACACAATTTTAAAAGGCTTGAAAATCAACACTACCATTTCATAAGGTCAAGCATAAAGTTAATAGTCACATTTCTGTTTATAAAAATTTACATTGAGGGCACCAAAAATTAAGAAATATTTAATTAAAGTTTTCTTTAATTTTAAAAGGAATAAGACATGCCTTCTAAAATTACCACATGTAGCTATTTCCTACTAACAAGTTATGTAAATAAAGCACTTAACTCAAAATGTAACCTACTATTAACATGTATTCCTCTTAAAAGTGTTATAAAATAGTGACATTAGTGAACGCAGAACAAGAATTTCAACATGTCTCCCCCATAAAAGCAACCAAAAACTTTAAAAATTTGCAAGAATCAACTTTTTTTAAGAACTCTGGAAATTAACAAAGGTTTACAGAAATCTGATAGTGCTTATTCAAATAACTGAATTAAGAAAGAACCATGAGCTTGGTAGCATTATAACTTGTTCTGAATCTCCAGTAGTTTGAAAATCAACAGCCCAATCATGTGAAAACCAGTAGCCTGGCAGTACCCAGAGAAAGAGAGCAAGGCTGAAATCACATTAAAAAGCTCATGCACAGATAACTGTCAATGTTTAACATGTCTAGTGATACACTAAGAGACCTATTTATTTGCAAAGCTGTATTCATTTAACCTACCTAGGGTGAGGAAGGAGGTGCATGCTTTGTCAAAAAACAATTAGAGTCAATTAACTTCTCCGTGCCTTTAGCCAGTAGATAACCATTAAAGTAAATAGACTAACCAAAATTTTTAAAAGGAAACTCTAGGGAATGAGAAGTTGGTACTGAGGATGTGCAAAGTTCCAACATGTTCTTAGGAATCAGGATGTCCACATGCATGTGCATGGCTGTGCCTGTGCCTGTGCCTATGCAAGAAGGTCCTCGACACTCCCCTCTGGCTGACCATATGGCTTTGTGTAAGCAGGAAGTGAAGAACAAGACAGTTATCAACTAGCTGGCTGGTGCCCCAGCAGGCAAGAGAGGACCTAGAAAAAAGTGGGAAACTTCTCTGGTTCTAGACCTTAACAGAAATTTGTCCAATCACTACTGACCACTAAGTTAACAGAACAATGACTTTAGAGGCCAAAATGACAAAGAATACACACTTTACTGAAATAGTGCAGGAAAGTCACTAAGGAAAAAAACAACAACAAAAACAAATAGCAACAGCACACCCCAGGAAGAAAACAATCTGGATTCCAGAGTTGCACAGTATTTAAAATGTCTAGTTTTCAACCAAAAATTACCCAAAAATGCAAAGGGGGAAAAAATAACTCATACATGGAGGGAGGGGGTTAAGTATCCCCAAACTTTAGACCTATTAAAAAGACTTTAAATCAGCTATTATATGTGTGTGTGTGTGTGTGTGTGTGTGATGTCTCACTAGAGACATATCAACAAAGAGAAAGAAACTATTAAAAAACACTACAGTGAAATTATAGAGTTCAAAAAACAAGAAATAAAGAGGAAAAACATAACTTTCAGCAAACTAATAATATAAAGAAACACATTCAATCTGGGGAACTGTATAGATGAAAAGCCTGGAGTTAGCATACCTATCAGTGAAATATTAAATGCCTCCCTGCTAAGATCAGTAACAAAGAAGCATTTCCTTCACCATTTCTAAAAAACCTGTACTAAAAGTTCTATCCAAACCAGTTCAATAAAAAGGAAAAAGGACTCACATAAACTTAGAAAAGAAAAAGCAAAACCATTTGCAGATGACATGCATCCATAGAAAATTCTAAGAATTTTGCTCCCCACAACACTCCCCTAAAAAAAGCAAAACAAAAAAATCTACTAAAATCAACAGGTAAAATGTTGCAGGAGGTAATCAGCTATTTCTACATATTAGCAAGAACTGGAAAAAGAAAATTTAAAAAACAGTGTGTATGAAGATATAAAATACATTAAAAATAATCATTAATTAAAGATGAATCTAACAAAATGCATAAAACCACTACAGTAAAAACTACAAAACACAGCTGAAAAAAAATCAAAGACCTAAATAAAAGGGAAGATAAAACTCAGTTATACATGGGTTTCTACCCTAAACCAAATTAATCTACAGATTTAATGCAACCCCATAATTTTTTTTAGAAATTGACAAACTGATTATATAATTAATATGGAAACACAAAAGACATAGAATTGCCAAAAACTTCTTGACAAACAAAAGTACTACAGAACTTCCAGTAATATTACATGCTCTCAAGATTTATTACAAAGCTATAATAATCAAGATGGTGGTGCCTATAAAAGGATGTGCAAGTATATCAATGGAACAAGAGCCCAGAAATAGACCCAAATACATAGTCAAACCACTTCTGACAAAAAGACTAAAATACTCAAATAAGAAAAAGATGTTATCTTTCCAAAGAATATTACTGAATTGGAAATCCAAATGGAAAAATAAATGTCAATTCTGACCTCAGACTGTACAAAAAATTTGACAAAGATTACAGACTTAGTGTAAAAGCCCAAACTATAAAACTTTCAGAAGACAATAAGAGGTGAATATATCCACACTTGGAGCAAATAAGTATTTATTAGAGAAAAGGAACTTAATATTAATGTCACCAAATTAAAATATTCTGCTCATTAAAGCACATTAGTAAGAATATAAAACATGTAAGCCACAAATAGAAAAAATATTTTTAAGGCACATTTTTCACAGAGAACATTCAGTCATAATATATAGAGAACTTTTAGAACCTAGCAGCAAAGACTTAAAAACAGATCATTCGGTCACTTCAGAGTGAGATATGTGAACAGCAAGTATAGGAAGAGTAGTCAACATCATTTTTTGCTAGAGAAATGCAAAAATGAAGTATTATTATACATCTACTAGTAGGACTAAATTTAAAAAAGTTATAACAGCAAATGGAGCAACCCAAAGACTCAAACAATGCTAATGGTAGTTTAAAATTATAGAAACACACAGGAAAAATATAAACATAAAAATATAAACATACATTATACACACACACACACAGAATTCCAGTGGGATACCAGTAATTCCACACCAGGGAATTATTTAAGAAAATAAAAACATATGTCCACAAACAGCCACAAGAAATTTCATAGCAACTTTATTCATGGCAAACCCCAAATTAGAAACAGCCCAGTTTTCTAACAAGAAAATGGGTAAATTGTGCATTCATAAGAGGGAATACTATTCTGCAATAAAAAGAAACTACTGACTAAACAAAAACCTGGATTAATCCCTAAAGCCATTATGCTTAATTGTAGAAGACAAACATAGAAGTACACACCGTGCAATTTCTTTTCTATAGAGTTCTAGAAAAGGCAAAATCTGTGACAACACAAAGTAAGCAACTGCTTTCAGTTGTGGAGTGGAGTGGGGGGAGGAATCTGTCTGAGAAGGGGTATGAGAAAGCTGGCATAAAGGGAAAACGTCCATAACCTGACAGGAGTGTGGTCACTGGTTGTATACTTTAGTTAAAATTGACTGAACAGGGCCCTCTCTGCTGGCGCAGTGGGTTAAAGCACGGCACTAAGAAGCTAGAGCCACTTCAGCATGAGTTCAATCCCCACCCCAGAGGTGATCCACAGGACGCGGCAGACCTCTCCTGACCCGCCCGCTGCTCCCCTCAGCAGTGTACTTCGATGATCTGCCTGTTCTGCTCCCTACTCTGTTTCTGGTGAAGCCTCTCGCCCCTGCACCTCTGGCCTGTACCCCAGTTCTGTATGAATAAATAAATAAATCTTAAAAAAAAAAAAAACCGACTGAACCATTGAGTTATCATAAGATCATATTAAAAAAAAAAAAAAACAGTAATTCACTAAAAAATTACTAGAGGTCATAATACCTGTGAGATGGAGCCTCCCAGTATAAAAGAAGGCTTTTCTGAAGCCACTGTGGTTTTGGATGATGGGATGAGTGGAGGAGGTGGCCTAGTTGGTCGAGTTGTTGGAAGACGAACTCCTTCAGGGAGATTAGTTATCACTTGATGTGGAGCAGGTTGGAGGACTTTAAAAAGGAAGAGGGGGGAAAAATGGTTTAAAATTGTCCATTTTAATTTGCAACATTCTATCTATCTCAGTCACTCCTGAGTTTTAAAGTTAGAAAATATAAATGCAAGATGAAGGCGAAGATGAACAGTTCTATTTGAAATGTCTCTCGCTTTTGAATTAAAACTGTATACACACTCAGTACAAATGGTATTTGTGATAATGAAATACTTAACTCCCTGTCAAATCAGAGATTTCAAGCTGATGTTCATTCCTAACTAGTTCTGCTTAACATATGCAAACAACAATCTTTTAATAATTTTTTCTCTTTCTCCATCATTCTTGGGACTTCACAATGGAGGTAAGGAAATGTATAGCTGATGACAACTTTGGAGAATATACAGACATGATTGTAACCAGTCATACATCTGTTTTGGATCTTGCATAATTTGAGAAACATTTACTGATTCTGGCTCTCACAAACACTTGAATTTCAAGGGCAGGAAAAGGGAATCCCAAGATCTTTACAAAGGTCGTGTACTCTAAAAGAAAAGGTAGTCAATGCCAGAGTAGTCAAGTGTGAACACAAACTTCCCAAGGGCCCAGTGAAGCTCAACTGAATACAACTGATGATGGAATGCAGAGAAACAAGAACATAACTTTGAAATAGCAAGACCATGTCCTGGAAGAGCAGTTCACTAAACCACCCATGTCTAACCTCTGTAGGTAGATGGCCAGCAGCCACTGCACAGAGGAACAATATTTACCTGGCGGGACACTATAGCGGGCTGCACTCACATCAGGCTGTGGAGCGGCTTTACTGGCTTCTCTCGGAGAGAGCCTACACGGTGATGCTGACCTTGCTGCAGTATTGAGCATCTGTGCTTCCTGTTCTAGAGCACGTTTGACCTCAGCATAAGGCATATAGGCGACTGATTTTCCTATGAAAGTTAAAGTTATCAAAATAAGGGAAAAACCCCAAATTAAAATAGTAAGTGTGAAAGGACCAAGCCCACACCATCCAGGGCTAGATCCAAATATATAGTAAAATCAAGGTCTAAAATTCCCTGGGGCGGAATCCACCCACAGAGAGGTTAAGTAACCCTGTAAGACTAAATCTGGTATGTGTCGTCACTATGCCCTATGACTGAATAATATCCTCAAAAGTTAAGTTTTCTATTTAAAGGACAAAGAACTTTCCTCTCTTTAGGAGAATCAAGTGTTTTCATATGCATTAAGATCAAAACAGGCAAACATCAGATAACTGAGCCATTTTGTAATTCAAATCTGATCTGAGACAGTATGATCAGAGCTCTGAGGTTTTCAAATGTTATAATTAACCTGTTGAAGTTCAGTACTTAGTATGATAAATGTAATTAGGAAATGGAAGGAGCCTTTCCAAAGATGCAAATCAAACTAATCTAAAGCACTTCAAAAAGCTTATACAACTATAAATTTTACTGCAATAATGCTAATGAAAATTACTCTACATCACTTACAACAAAAGCATTTAAAACTTTAAGCACTGAAAGGGCATGTCACATTAAGACTTAAAGAAAAAACACTACAAATATTGTCTCTTTTTAAAATAAAATTGACACATTGAAGTAATTTTAGAAAATCACAAAGAAGTGAAAATCATCTGTTACCCTAACTTACTCTAACTTAGATTTGTGACATTTCAATGTTTGTTTGAACACTCAGTTTATTATTCCTTTGCTTACCTGGTCTTATCCATTTATTCTTCCAAATAAATTTATGTTTAAAATCACTCTGAGTACTTCTTCAAAACACAAAGTATCATTTGGATTTTCAAAACACAAAGTGTCATTTGGACTTACATGGAATTTATGAATATATATTTTATTTCACAAGTCTTTTATAATACTGAATTTACTACATTTTATAATAATGACTTCACTGAGAAAACTAGTGATCATTACAGATATAGAAGATGTGAATTTCTGAATATTGAGTTTTTTGAAAAACTTCATTTTTCTCTTACAGTTTTTATAACAGTTTTGTTAATCCTTATAGGCCTTCTGTAGAGTATCTTGTCCTATGAATAATAACTTGTCTTCTCCCTTCAAATACCTAACCTCATTGGGGCCTCTATTACATGGCTGTAGTAATAAGTACCCTGATCATTCAATAGGTACCCTGATCATTCCTATCCAAATAGAAGCTCTCTGGTATTCTACTATTAAGTAAAGATTTTAAATTGATTTCAAATGGGAATTCATTATCTCAAGGTATAAGAAGTTATTTTGTTTAGTGAAATGTTTTTAAAAACCAGGAAACAATTATAGTACTATCTGCTCTGCATGCAAAATGATCTCTTTTAACTCTCATGACTAAAGAGATTGTTAACACCAATTTATAGATGAGGAAATTGATGTTCAGAAGAATCTCACTTAATATGACCATGGGAATTTTTTAAGAAACAACAATTTCTTGCCCCCAGACTCTAAATCATAATGCAATAATGTCTCCCTGAAGGACTAGGTGCTAAATTTCAAGATGACTGTACTTCTCTCACATAAATACAATTAATTAGGTTATTAAGTGTCCAGATACTGTACAAACAGATTTAGGAAATAAACCAACTTCAAAAGAAGATCATACTTCTTTTCTAGACAATTTAATATTTTACAGTGTATTAGAAGTTCACTGTCTGTTTCATCATTTCCAGTAAGTTTATAACTATATAGAAAAATCCACTTTGTCACAGTAATGTTAAGGGGAAAAGGGAAGGAAATTTAGCTGGTTCTAAATATAGCTACTTGGATCACCATGTACCTAGAGTAAGAAAAACAAAAAAATATAAACTAGGTTCAGTTACGTAAAAGAATAATTCTTATTTTGATTGGACAGATTATAGAACCTGCATTAGAAGTTCAACTTTACTTTTATCTCTAACAGTCTAAGTTCCTCCATTGTAGGAAAAGGGCATCAAACTAAAGCAGAAGCTAACTCATATAAATATAAATGTAACATGGAGACAATTCTCTAAGATATTTTTTCAAAATTTTCTACACATGCAAAGACTTTGGGCTATTTACGAAAGGTTTCCCTACAATTATTATTTGTACCATTGATATTAAGAAGAGATGTACACTAACGCTGAAGAAGAGGTGCTGCCTTTTACTTTCTAAATGACACCAGAAAGAGACAGGCCAAAACTATGGTCCTAATTCAGGTGGACTAAAGTAATTTCATACGGTTTTATAGGTAAGTCCACTTTCTCACTGTACTTAACATTCTAAGACTATCTTATGACATTGCCTTTAAAACATTCATTTCAAACATTCTATACACAAGAAACTGAACTGCAATATATAAAATGTTATTAAGGAAGAATATATTAGACTGAGCAATAAATTTAGGAGACTTTAGGTACTTGTTAAATAAACTACTGGATGAAAATACTAAGCAGATTAGTTGTGAAAAAAATTAATCTTGGGATAAAATGTAACCAATTCTTCTAGTTTTCAGTAACCCTGAACCAAACCAGTATCACATCATCTTGTTATCAAATTATCAAAAATATAATTACAATTTAGTTTTAAGACCTCTGCTTTATGATTAAAAATTGGGATACTACTCAGATCTAACCACATGGATAAATGTGACTGAATACAGATAAGTGAAGTTCATAAGTTTGGAGGCTTGGATTTTGGAGTTCTAGCATTATTCAGTCTCTCCAATTCTATTTGGTAAAGTGAATCAAGAAAAGATATTGAGATTCTAAGATAACTATATAATATTCATAGTAAAATTACAAATATATTATTAACTGAATAATGTTAAGTTTTAGCAACAGTTCAGCAAACACTACTTAAGTCATTTTTCCAGACTTTAATTCTTCCTTACAAAATTTATTCTGAATCACTTAAGGACTAAATAATCAGACTTTGAAATTAGTCTAATTTTTCAATTTCATAATGACAGACTGGATCATCATTGGAATGCTCAAAAGAAGCACTTTTTCCAAGTCCATTTGTGTTCCCGAGTTCATTTAATTCATCCCTTCCACATGTAATTGTACATTGTGTCAACTACTAAATTAGGTGGTAAGAACTAGAAGCCCAAAATTACCTCCTACCATCAATCAAGAAATACCATTTAGCAGCTGTTACAAACTCAACCTTGGTGGGGATTATCACCCTAATTTTACCAGTATAAAATGTATACTTACAACACTAACAATCTCATATAAATGACTCACATTGTCAGGTAACAACTACATAACTCTCTGGTATAACTGGGGCACAGAATCAGCGAAGAGCCAGTTACTACTTCTACTAAGTAAACTCTAGAAACTATGTGTTCTAAAGCTAGTAACTCTTTATGAGATACTGCAGTCTCTGTATCATCATTTAAACAACTAAACCATAATCATAGAAAACTTCTATATCTTTGGAATATAAGAGCTTCTATATGCTAAGAACTTATTAAATTCTAAGAACATGAAACTAGTAAATTCTTATATTCTAAGAACTAAGAACTAAGACTTTGTGTCAGAACATATAGTCTGTGAGTTGACTTTAAGGAAAACACGTGTAAATTTCTAAAAATGAAAAAATTTATTAAAATTTAGAAACCACACACTTTCTCCTTTTCAAAAGAAACTAAGTGTATCATGTACCAATTCAAATCTGTCCTTTGACATAACAATGACAACAGTACTTTCTTATTATCTCTTATACTATGTATATACTAATATGTTAATTAGTATATGCTATATACATTATATATATTACGTATATATACATACACACACATATATAGAAAATAATGTTCAGCTGCCTAATAACTTGCTGGGATTACAACCATAAAAAAGAATAAACATTCATTATTGTTTTATATGGATATATATACATTGTATTTTATGGATAAGAAAACTAGAACTCCAAGAAGTTAAATGACTTGCCCATGGTCACAAAGCTGGTAAATGTTGGGGTATTATTTCAGGGTTTGACTGGCACTGTACACTTCACAAAGTTGTGCCACATAATATCAGACAAAGAGCTAAATAATACCCTGTGATAGGTGGCTTGCTTGAAGGACAGAGTAACAATTCTCACTTACTCTTAAAACTCTGAATATGGCCCTCACTTGTGGCGCAGGGGGTTAAAGCACAGCACTGAGAAGCTTACGCCACTTCCGCATGAGTTCGATTGCCGCCTGCCCCGGATGTGATCACATGGCGCGGCAGACCCCTGCTGACCCGCCCGCTGCTCCCCTCAGCAGTGTACTGCGTCGATCTGTCTGTTCTGCTCCCTGCTCTGTCTCTGGTGAATCCTCTCACCCTCTGCATACCCCAGTTCTATATGAATAAATAAGTAAATCTTAAAAAAAAAAAAATTCAGAATACAATATAAAGCCTGACTTTTAATTGTCTTCCAGCATAAAGATGAAGATCCAAAAATTCATACTAATTAGAGCTCTACTTAAGAATAACTGCCATCCTTTAGTAGGCAATAAAACTAATATTCCTTTGTTGTTCGACTGAGATCAATTTAAAGCAATTTTATGTGTTCAAGACAGGTTTAATAAGTCAGTTGATAAGCTGACAAATTACAAAGTACAAAGCACATTATACTTTATAGAGTATAATTTTCTCTTCAGAAAAGTTCTTTGTGGTGACAGAACTACCTACCTTCCCACTCCCTGTTTGGACTCTTGGACGTGCCACATGGACTTGTAGAACTTCTGCATTCCAAATCTATCTGTCCTTGCCTCTGTCGCTGCTCCTCCAGGAGTGCCGACTCATGCATTGCTTTAATGTGTCGCTGGTAGAGGGCATAACCGCTCACTGGGGTTCCAACTGGTATATTACATGGGGTGCAGGAAACCTACAGGAAGAAAAAAAAATCTGAATACGCCAAGACCGACATAGTAATAATACTGTCTGTTACCAAGTAATGCTTATTTTTTGTAATATTACTGGTTGAAGTGATTTTACCATTTTTTAAACAAAGCAACTTTAAATGTAATGTTTGAATTGATAATTTACTTTCAAAACTGAACGCACTATAAATCACAAAGTTTGTATTAAAAAAAAAATCAAAACCAAGCCTGCCCTGGTAGCACAACTAGCTAAAGTGCAGCTCTGCAAAAGGGCCACAGCCACCCCTGTGTGAGTTCGATCTCTGGTCCGGAGCTAATCCACATGGCACGGCAGACTTTCCTGACGCACAAGCCACTCCCCTCAGCAGTGTACTTCGTTGATCTGCCTGTTATGCTCCCCACTCTGTCTCTGGTGAAGCCTCTCACTGCCCTTAGATCTCTGGCTTGTACCCCAGTTCTGTATGTATAAATAAATAAATCTTAAAAAAAAAAAAGAGGAATTAAAATACATTTATTTGCTTCTAACATAAGATGGTCAAGTTCCTGGTAGGTCAGTTTGGGTATCCACCTTCCTCCCAATGTCCTCCCCCCCCCCAGGTAACCACACCCACTTCTGTGGATTAATATATCATATGTTAATAAATCATGCATTTCTGTTTTTAAGACTAAGTTTTCTCCAAGTTCTACACTGATAAAATAACCTATATAACAACTCCATTTGGGTATCTCAAAGAAACTCAAAACATAGTCAAAGGTGTACTGTTCATTTTCTAAAATCAATGCTTTTTCTTCTATGCTCTCTGAGAGGAATGGGGGGCAGAGGTAAGGCAGGGATGCGGAGGGTCTGGCTGCTAAGGAATGAAACCCCCCCCCACACACACACCCCGCTTTCTGGGACTAAAGCCTTTAAATACCCTCTTGGGACTAGGGGTGCTAAGCGTCTGCAGCCAGGGGGAGGGGCACTAAGGGGAGACCTGGTGAGCCTGGTGTAGTACAGAAGCTACAGTGGCCGGCCCAAGCCAGGAGCTGTCCCAGCTATCGGAAGTGGAGCAGACGCTGGGTTTGATGCTTGGAAGTGGTGCCATCATGTTTGAAATTAATCTGCTTCATTAGTGTTGGCTATGCTTGAGGACCCACATGTAGTGTCATTGCTCATATGTGCCCTAAAATCAGGGTAACAGTTGTTGATGTCAATGAATCAAGAATCAATGCATGGAACTCTCCTACACTTCTTATTTATGAGCCAGAACTAAAAAAAGTGGTAAAATCCTACTGAGGAAAAAATTTATTGTTTTCTACCAACATTGATGATGCCATTAAAGAAGCTGACAGTGTGTTTATTTCTGTGTACACTCCAACAAAAATCTATGGAATGGGTAACGGCTGTGCAGTCGACCTTAAGTATACTGAAGCTTGTGCTTAGACGCATCGTGCAAAATTCCCACGGGCGGCAGAAAGCATTCGTCGAATATTTGATGCAAATATAAAACCCAACTTGAATTTATAGGTGCTGTCCAACCCTGAGTTCTTGGCAGAAGGAACAGCCATTAAGGACCTAAAGAACCCAGACAGAGTACTGACGGGAGATGAGACCCCTGAGGGTCAGAAAGCCATGCAGGCACTGTGTGCTGCATATGAACACTGGGTTCCCAGAGAAAAGACTTTCACCACTAATACTTGGTCTTCAGAATTTTCCAAACTGGCAGCAAATGCTTTCCTTGCCCAGAGAATCAGCAGCATTAACTCTGTAAGTGCCCTCTCTGAGGCAACAGAGCTGACATAGGAGTAGCAACAGCCATTGGAATGGACAAAGAATTAGAAATAAGTTTCTCAAAGCCAGTGTTGGTTTTGGTGGGATTGTTAAGGGGAAGGACGTCCTAAAGGAACTCTGCAGAGTCTTATGGACTCCACCCCCTACTCCAGCTTTCTGAACCCTACACACTACTCCAGTGATTGGAAACTACAACTCCCAGTAGTACCAGGGAGAGAATGTGAGGACCCAAGGGCCGAGCTAGCAGGAATGAATTCTGGGACATTTGGGGGGATAAATAGGGCATGATTGCATCTCGGGCTCTCTCACTCGGGAAACAGTTCTCCGGACCCTGTGAGTTGGTGTGTTCAGTCAGCCTATCTGTAATGTATTCCACTTACTTTGTATCCTGCTTTCACTGGGCTGTTTCCTATTCCTTTCCCCTTTTGTAAATAAACCCGTTATTGACCCTTTTGTGTGTACCTGCAGTGTTAACGAATTGTGAGGGCGCGGGTGAGGCCCACAGACAGGCGGCCCAGTTCACTCTGGGCTTCCCTGTAACAGGAGCTACTTTCACAAAGACATTCTGAATTTGGTCTATCTCTGTGAGGCTCTGAATTTGCCTGAAGTAGCTCGTTACTGGCAGCAGGTCATAGATATTAACGACTACCAGAGAAGGAGGTTTGCTTCCTGGATTATAGACTGTCTATGCTCTGAGAAAATGGAACCTCAGCAGCTTAAACCAGAAAACTGGCAGTCATCCTACTAAACGATCTCTTCTGCTCCCACAACTAGCTCATTAACATACCATTCTCTAAGGATGGAAATTAAATGTTACTTCTTCAGACCAGTCACCCCCAATCATCTAATCAAATATGATGACTCCCTCTCTGGTTCCCTTGTTGCCTGTTGCATTTCTTGCCCAGTACACAGCACTTAACCACAATTTGTAATTATGTTTATTTTCTCTCCTACATCATGGAGGAAAAGTGCTTTGTCCAATACTAAATAAACAGTCCTCATCACAATGTATTATGTCACAAATACAAAATAGTCCTGGAAGAGTAAAGATCTGACACTTTAAAACCTGTTATCTAAAAATTTTATGTTTTTAACATTACTGTAAGTAGGATTTTTCACTAAACCTAAAATAAACACCTAACAGCTCTTCCTCCTTTTCTTATAAAACCAAATGAACTATTTTGGTCAAACCAAAATTTTATTTCCTATGTGAAGTCTTCCTCAAGTGTCTCATTAAGAAGGAAATTCTTCTTCCTCTGAAATGCCCTTGCTATATTTTTTAACCAACAGAGCATCACACTTTAATCACAATTTTTTTCCTATGTTTTATTATCAAGACCAATCTCTTAAATTTTGTTTGTTTATTAAGGTAACATTGGCTTACAACACTGTACATGAGCTAGGGGAATAGGTTCACACTTCAGATGTATGTGACCAAAACAGCCTCACCATCAAAGCACCTATAGTCCCCTACTGGACCACCCCTGGCTTGTTACCAACCCTCTCTCCTGCCCCTTTGTCCTTATCTTTGCAGTCAGACTTCTAGGGTTTGTTTTTGTCAGTTCCTTTGTGGGGTTTTTTTTATATACTCTACATAAGAGTGAAATCATCCAGTGTTTGTCTTCCTCCTTCTGACTTATTTCACTTAGCATAATCCCCTCCAGTTCCATTCATGTCATCACAAATGGCAAGGTTTCATTTTTCTTTTTATAGCTGAGTAGTATTCTGCTGTATACATACTACATCTTCTTACTCCACTGCTCAGTGAAAAGGCATTTAGGTTGTTTCCATAACTTGACAACTATAAGTAGTGTTACAGTGAACACAGAAGTATGTATACACCTTTGAATTAGTGATTTTATATTCTTCAGGTAGATTCCTAGTAGTATGGCTGGATCATACAGTGTTATCTACTTCTGATATTCTGAGGAACCTCCATATTGTTTTCCATAGGGGCTAGATGAGAATGCATTTCCAACAATGTATGAAGGTTTTTTTTATTTCTTTAGTCCTCAACATCCTCACCAACATTTGCTGTTTTTGTAATTTTGTACACAAGCCATTCTCACTGAGGTAAGCAATCTGTAAATCTAGAAGGTTGTAATACATAAATACTGCCTACAACATTAAAAATGTTGTCTTGCACTGGGCAGACAAATGTCCATCTAAAAAAAAATCAACGAATGGACAAATTTAATAATCTCACATAACTTTTACCAATTTTGTGAGGCAGAAAATGAATTCATACCCTTTGAAATAAAGCAAAAGCTGGAAATACAACTAAGTAAAAGAGCAATACCAAGAACTGGAATTCAGTATCAAAAATGAGTCAAACTTTCAGGCACACTTAATGTATATTGTAAACAAAATTAGATTTGAAATCATATACCAAAGTTCATTATAATCTCTAAGTCATTCTAAATTTTCAAAACTTCATTATTTGTTCTACTCAAGTCTTAAACAAGTTAAACAAAAATAGGACACACTAACATTTCTGGTTAAAGCATATGTTTTTTTTAATTACAAATGACCATTTCAATAAATCACCACAATGAATCTATCTAGAAAAACAACATACTATGCATATAAACTTCAGTTATGTAAAGGGGTTCTTCCACAAAGTCAGATTCAGGAATTTCTACTCTTCTGTTCCATATACCCTCATACTACCTAACTCAAGCCCAACTCAAGAGATTTAAAAGAAAACAAAATACTAAAATCAAATACCAATCATAGCAGCACTATTCACAACACCAAAAGGTGGAGGCAACCCAAAAGTTCATCAACAGATGAATGGATAAAACAAAATGTGACCTTTATACAATACTGGAAAGTGTCAGTCTTAAAAAGGAGATTCTGACATGGGCTACATGGATGATGCCCAAGTACATCATATGGAGTAAAATAAGTCAGTCACAAAAGGTAAATCCTGTATTATTCCACTCACATAAGAACCTATAGTAGGCAAATTCACAGAAGCAGAAAGTATAACAGAGTTCAACTTTACAAGATGAAAGACTTCTGGAGATTTGCTTCACAATGAGAATACACTTAACATCAGTAAACTACACACTTAAAAATGGTTAGAATGGTAAATTTGATACATTTTACATTTTTTTGAATGAACTCATTAAAGATGAGAAGAACTACTTTCTAAATATTTTTATTTTAATTTTCTTACTCATATCGATATCTTACCATTGGTGGGATAACAGCTGCTCGATGCTGAAGCTGTGGCAGGTCCAGTGGATTTGGTTTTATTGGAGATGAGACCAGTATAGATCCAGTGGGGTTTAATAATGATGGCTTTGAATCAATAGGAAACATTCTGTAATCATCAATAAAGAAAATAATACATTTTTATTTAAGACATTAAAGATGCAATCACAATTCCTTCTAGGTTAATATGAACACATACATGCCATATTAACCTCACAAGATATCTGAAAAGTAAAGACAATTATAATGCTAGATTTCCAGTTAAAGAAACCTAATACTGATTTATAGGTTGAGATTTATCTGAAGTGAATTATCTACAGCTAACAAAGTCTGAACAAAAGCCATCAAAAAATGACCACTAATATAGGTTACAAAATAGTTTCCAGTTATGGAATGCTTTGCTAGAATCACAACCCATTTTTAAAAACATTTCAATAAGCTATGACCACCTTAAAATTTAGGATTTCACCCCAAATTCCAGATTCCTGGTTATTCAAGAAAAATGAAAACTATTTTTGCAGAACCATCATTCCCACCAGCATATCAATTACATGTTAGACTGGCAGCAGCTGCCCCTTCAAATTGGCTCATGTTCCTCTATTTGCTAACACAAATACTAATATTCTATTTGCTTCACTCATATTCACCACTTGCACTTGAACTTAGGACACCCAATAAATGAACTGAAAAAATTATATATTGGTGTCATACATTGCAGGCTTATTGTCAGTTATTAGTGGAACATGAGTACTTTAAAATCATATATGGGGCCCTCCCTCGTGGCACAACAGGTTAAAGCACAGCACTATGAAGCTAGCCACAGCCACGTCAGCATGAGTTCGATCCCCTCCAGGGAGGTGACCCACATGGTGCAGCAGATCTCTTCTGACCCATCCACTGATACCCCCCTCAGCAGTGTACTTTGTTGATCTGTCTGTTCTGTGCCCCAATCTGTCTCTAGTGAATCCTCGTACCACCCCTGCACCTCCCGCCTGTACCCTAGTTCTGTATACATCAATAAATAAATCTTTTTTTAATTTTAAATTAAGAAACTAGAATGTATAAAAGAAAATTAGTTACATTTTACTCAAAAAAAAAATAAAGTTGATCTTAAAGACATAGAAAACTGGGCATCCCTGCTGGCACAAGGGATTAAGTCTCAGCCCTATGAGGCTATTGGCAGCCACTATAGCACTAGTTCAATGCCTGGCCAGGGAGCTGACCCACATGATGCATCAGACCTCTCCTGTCTCACCCACTGCTCCCCTCAGCAGTATATTTCAGTCAATCTGCCTGTTCTGCTCCCCATTGTCTGGTGAATCCTTTCAGCCCCTGTACCTCTGGCCTGTACCTAAGTTGGTGTATGCACAAATAAAGTCTTTTGAAAAAATTAAAAATAAAGATGTAAAACTGAAATAGCTATTTTGATAGTGTGGAAGTGATATTGACGTTAGCGTTTCATTTACAGACCACCATATATTTACACAAGGAATTTCTCAATTTCAAGGCTAATGTCATGTTCTTTTTTTTTTTTTTTTTTAAAGATTTATTTATTCACTCAGACAGAACTGGGGTACAGGCCAGAGATGCGGTGGGTGAGAGGATTCACCAGAGACAGAGCGGGGAGTAGAACAGGCGGATCGACGAAGTACACTGCTGAGGGAAGCAGAGGGCGGGTCAGGAGAGGTCTGCCGCGCCATGTGGATCTCCTCCAGGGCAGGCGGGGATCGAACTCATGTGGAAGGGGCTTAAGCTTCTTAGTGCTGTGCTTTAACCCGCTGCGCCACCAGGGAGGGGCCTGTCATGTTCATTTTTTAAGATGCTCCTCCTTTGAGATTGTAATTTTCCTTCATTAATAGTTATCAAAACACTGAACAGTCCCAACTTCAGATGAGATATTTCATTAAAGAATATTTAAAAAGGAAATACACAACCAGAAGCCACTTATGTTTACTCTGTTAAAAGTTTGAACCTTTGGGGCCCTCTCTGGTGGCGCAGCGGGTTAAAGCACAGCACTAAGAAGTTAAAGCCACTTCCGCATGAGTTCGATCCCCGCCTGCCCCGGAGGTGACCATATGGCGAGGCAGACCTCTCCTGACCCGCTCGCTGCTCCCCTCAGCAGTGTACTTCTTGATCTGCCTGTTCTGCTCCCTACTCTGTCTCTGGTGAATCCTCTCACCCTCCCCATCTCTGGCCTGTACCCCAGTTCTGTATGAATAAATAAATAAATCTTTAAAAAAAAAAAAAAAGTTTGAACCTTTGGGCCCTCCCTGGTGGCGCAGCGGGATAAAGCACAGAAAAAAGATGCCTAAGTCACTTCAGCATGAGTTCGATCCCCGCCTACCCTGGAGGAGATCCACATGGCGAGGCAGACCTCTCCTGACCTGCCTGCTGCTCCCCTCAGCAGTGTACTTCGTCAATCTGCCTGTTCTGTACCCCACTCTGTCTCTGGTGAATCTTCTCACCCTCCACATCTCTGGCCTGTACCCCAGTTCTGTACGAATGAATAAATAAATCTTTAAAAAAAATGTTTGAACCTTTAAAATAAAATCAACATTTTTGTGAGATGAGGGGAGAGGAAGCTAGTTGGTTGAATTTCCTGGAAAACCAATGATTAAGTAGAATCCCTACTTCAATTCTCATTGATGAAAATTCTAGCATCTATTCTACAAGAGTTTCTTTGGAGAAATCATCACTTAATGCTCAGTATTATTCTAATATTGAGTCTGACTCTCAAGTATGAGAATCAGTATAACATGTGCTAGGTATGGATTGATACCAGGACGGATTATTAAAGCTGAACACTAAATAAAATTCTGCTGTCTGATGAGTAACTTAGTTACCTCTTTCTTATTAAAAAGGAAAGAGAAACCATACATTGTACATAAATGAAGGATGTTATAATGAATATATTTTAAAATTAAATTAAAAGAAGAGGGAAAAAAAGGAGGAGAAAGGCAGGATGAACTGGGTTTCTGATTACGTGATGTTTCAATCTAATTTAGAGAACATCATGTTGATTTTTTAGGATGTTCTTCCTTTGAGATTACTGACATTCTCATTTTCCTTCATTTATAATATATAGTTAACAAAACACAAATAGCCCTAATTTCAGATGAGATACTTCATCATATAGATGAATTTATTAGTATTCTACCATTTCTAGATAATCTCAATTCAAGAAAAGGCAACCTGGGAAATTAAGTATGTTAAGTAAAATAGTATCTACCCCCTAAAATATTTGTATTATAAGTAATATTAAGTTGTACTCAAATTACGCTTTCTAAAATACTTTTAGAACACTTATTATGTTTCTCCTGTCAGCATTTTCTTACATCTAATACGTAAGTAGAATAGATCTTGCTTTGAGGCTGGTCTAAGAGCAAACAAAGCAGGAGCTGGTATCTCTTGCCTCTTCCTTCACCACTGCATTACACTGCTTCCATCGTCAAGAACAGCACCTGTGTTTATTTTACCACTTTATTAGCTGAGATTCCCTTCTTTTCTGCTACCATACAGAATATAGGTAACAACTGAAGAGAATTATCTGTTTCACTAAAAAATAATCATCACACAATTGTTCTTGACATATAAACGGATGAAATGCATATAACCCAATCTAACCAACATACATAGTACCTTTAACCTGCCAACATTTATACAGGAGTAATTTCTGCAGGAGTACCATTCTGTAACTCATTCAAAAAAAGGAATACGAATAGGATTATACTGATGGAGTGAGCCTTACCGCTGCCTCTCTGGCTCTCCATCCACATCTTCATCAGCACTGCAGGTGGCACTGGAATCATTGTCTGATTGGGGTTCAGGCCTTTGGACATTTATTTGCTGAGTCACAACCAAATCTTCATCTCTAGACTCAGTATTCTCACTACCTCTCTCTAGGTCTCTTTCTTTGGTATCATCGTCCACTTTAGAGGAGTTGTTTTCTGGCACCCTCATTTCAACATCTAAAGATTCTGCTTTGGTAGTCGTGGGGAGATCAAGAACTGAAGTCACTTCAGCACTGCTTTCCTGATGTTCAACATCCATAGGTTCTGCTGTCTCAACACTGATGCTGTCATTCACCTGGGTCTCCACACTTTCATTTTCAGCTGGTTTTGTAATTGGAACTGCTGGAGAGGGAGATGCGCTGGGTGCAGGTTCAGTTGTAGACACGAGCTCAGCCACAGGTTCAGTATCTCCTCTAGAAGTAGCATTTTCAGTGCTATCTTCGCTGGGCTTGACAGCTTCAACTGGTGAAGGAGAAGGAGCACTTTCTGTATCAGAACTATTTTCAGCACCTTAAAGATAATGATACAGCATAAAAATCTGATAATGAACATGTTTCAGATGGTGACAGAGCCATGATTGAAAGTAGCTGTTCAGGATGAATTAGAATCCTTTGATGATCTCAATGAAGTATTACAGCCATTGGGAAAGCTAAAGTACACTATAGAGTACGAAAAAGAAAGACCAAATTGTCTTGACCTTCTGAAATTGAAAGTGTAAAAGCTTCTAATGACTACAAAAAAAAACTTAACATGGAATTTAAGACTAAGAAAGATGGAAAAACAAAACTAAACAAAACCATTCCCATAAATGGTAGTATTCAGGTCTATTTCTACCAGCCTGTTTATGGGATTTTTTTACCCAAGAGAGTGGATACTCTAGAACAGCACTATCCAATAGGAACATAATGAGAATTGCAGCTGTAATTCAAATTTTTCTGGTAATCATATTAACAAAGTAAAAAGAGCTAAGTAAAATTAGCAATATGTTGAAAACACTACCTTTTTAACATGTAATCAATATTAAACCAGTAATGTTTTACTTTTTTGGTACTAAGCCTTTAAAATCTTAGTTTACATTTTCAGCATATCTCAATTTATACTAGATATATTGCAAGAGCTCATAAGCAACATGTGTCTAGTGGTGACCACAACCTAAGAGGAAAGTTGTAGGAAAAAAAAAATCTAAATTTTTCATTTAATTTTGTAATATTGGTTTTTATCCATTTCATTGTATCATTATATAAATATATCTTTAATGTTTTGATATCTTTACCTAGCAATCTCAAAAAAAGAAGCACAAATCCAGTTTGTCCTACACTAACACTTGTACTTAACAATCCCAAATTAGCATCTTTTCTAGTGTTGTTATCCAAATAACTAAGTCAGAAACTTTGGAATCCTCTTTAAAACCTTTTTACATTTACCCCCAAATCCTGCCTACATGTCTCATGGATTTTTCTCTAAAAATACTCCCTGAAGATATCCAGTTCTATTAAAATTTACGACTACCAGTCTAGTCCAAAACAAACTGTACCCACCTTCTACTTCAGGCCATTCTCTGCAACAATGCCAGTGGGAGCTTTGAAAAAGCAAAATTTTACCATAGCCCACTCACATGCTCTCCCTCTGCCCCTCCCTCTTAAAACATTTCAATGGAACCTCAATACTCTTGTGGCAAAGCACCAAAATTTATAGTATGGCATTGTTATAAGGCCTGCTGAGCCCCTGCCAGTCCTTTGAGCTTTAGTCTGCCCTCAACAACCTGTCTTCCATGATCACGGACATGCTTTAAATTTTATGAACACATGTGTCCCCTACTACAGGGAATATTCCATTTTCACCTATGAAAGGTATACTTTCATTTATTTCTTTTGGCTATCATATCAGTTGTTACATGTTTAAAAATGACTTCTATTATCATTTTCCTAACATTTTAGTTTTGCTACTATGGCTTTTAAAATATATGTACTGGTTTCAGGTACAATTTAACATTTATTCATAAACATTTGGTTCCTGAATGTTTCTTCCACTGGGCAATAAATACTATCAGGACAGAAGTCAAAGTTTAAGAGACAAGCACTATGCCTACAACACAACAAACTCACACATTTCCTGAAGTATAAAGGGAGTAAAAGGTTGTAAATTTATCTAAATTTACTTAACCTTTCCTTTATTACTGGGTCCTTGGACTAGTTCCAACTTGCCACTGTTATAATATACAGAGATATGCACTGCAACATAAGATTTTTAAACTATTTTCTTAAAATAGACTATGACACAACATATATACCTAAACTTTATTTGCATATACATATATAATGCATACACATATAAAATACACATCTAGTGACAATCCCAATAGTGTATAAAAAATTTCTTAAATTTATAATGTCCCTGAGAAAATTATGAAGTATACTAGAGTGAAAGAATATCTGCCTTTCCAGATAATTCATATTTACTATGAAGTCAATGTATAACAACATATTTGGAACTGTCACAGTGACAGAAAAAAAATGAATTAATTGTACAGCTAACAATGGCTAGGAACAGATCCTGAAATTAAATGGTAAGTTAACACATATTAAAAAATCAACATATATGAAAGCTTATATTTTACTGTTTATATATAAACTCTCTCTCCCAAAATGTCTGTCTGAAAGAAAAACATGGACATTATCATACAGAAAAGTCATTCCAGATGGAATAAAGATTTTTAAAGCTTTTAGATGATAATTTGGGGCAAGCTACATACAACCTCAGAAAGCATATAGAAATTACCTTAAGCACAATAGGAAACTGAGGCTATAAATATATCACTTGCATAGAAAACAAAGTAGCAACTTAAATTACCATATAGGAAAAATACTTTAATGTGTAATATATTCAGATACTACAAAGGCATTCATTCACTCAAATATACAGTGTAGGAAGCTATTTGCGCATCTGACTATGCGTGATACAGCTTAGAAGGAACACAGGTTGTTATGTATTCACAAATATATAAATATTAGAAGGGCAACACAACCAAAAAACGTTAACAAATCTAAGATTTAATGATTTTTATTAATCTTCCCTTTCTAAATTTTTTATAATAGGTTTTTAAATCAAATGATGTATTTTAATAAAAGCATGAAATTGTGTACAAAAAAACTATTAAATCCTGGGGTGTAATGTATTGCAATGGTAACCAGGGTTAATAAACTGTATTGTATAGTTAATAATACTTGGTTATAAAGAGCAGAGATCTCAAAAGCTTGTATCGCAAGAAAAAAATTCTAGCTATGTTAGTTAACTATACTTAATTGAACATTTAATAATAAACATAAATATCGAATCATTGTATATTTTACATCTGGAAAACAATGTCATACCAATAATATGTAATAAACAAATGAACAAAATGAGCCCAGAAAAGTAGTAGGCAGAGAGATCATAGGGATGTACAGGTCAGTTCATGTAGGGTTTCATGAGTCATAGAAAGGCCTCTGGCTTTTATTCTAATGAGATGGAAAAGTATCACAGGATTTTAAAGAGAAAAATATCTGATTATATTTTATAAGGATCACTCGCTGTTGTGTGAAGGGGGAAAAATACAATAGCACATATGCAGCAAAGACACTAATCAAGAGTACTGCAATGGAGATGACAAAGTAGCATCAATGGAGACATGAGGATTCTAATAGTATCTCTAAAGAAAAGTTGGCAAGATCTGCTGGTAGACTCTGGGGGTATATGAGAGAGTTATTAAAGAATCACTTAGTAACTTAGGGAAAGAACAGAAGGAAAAGTAGGCGGCAGTGATGGGATAATAAAAGTTTGCATTGGATGTTTTGGGGGCTATAGGCATCCAAATGGAAATGTTAACTAGGCAGTTACATTCATGAGCCTTAAAATTCAGATGAAATTTCAAGTCTCAAAGATGAAATCAAAACCAAAGAAAACAAAAATTCAGAACAGCACTTCACAGCTATTTAGTCCTTACTCAAAGAATTCAAAGAACATGTTACCAAAAGTTAAAAGGCTTACAAAAGCCTTATTTCACCTTCATTTTTATCCATCTAGTGATGGGAAACCTCAAAAACAAAGGGAAATCAACAAGTCTTTTATATTCAAACTATTGGAAGACATGATAGTGACTGCAACTGTATCATTTGACATATGTACTTTTTCAATTATTTTTTTCTTCCACGCCAAAAAGAACAGGGATATTTCTAAGGCATGTTTCACCAAGCAACAAATATAATTGTCCTTTTTCCCCCTAATTTTTAAAAATTCCTTAAAGAATAACTTAGGAGAAAATAAACAAATCCAAATTTTGTTAGTTCTGATTTACTCTTCTAACTGGTTGTTATGATTTACTCTTCTAACTGTGAGGATAGTGACACAGTCAAACATGTGTTTTAGGAAAAGAGATACAGAGGGACTCTTTCTTTTCAGCAGTTGCCTTCACTTTCCCACAGACAAGAGCCCTGCTATACAATAAAGAGTAAACCTTGTCTCATTAAGTTTAGCAGTAAGTGTGAATCATAGTTCATGCAAACTGTATTGCACTGTCTTTTCCTTGACACTTTTCAAATGAAGTCAAGGAAATGACTCTAGTGACAAGTTTATTTCCTACAAGGAAGAAATTATTCTAGATGTCATAACACAACCACATATATAAATGGGCATGATATAACTATGCCACTCTATACTTCATTAAGTGGAAACATTATAATAACATGTTTGACAATTTGAAAAAAGTATCACACAAAAGACAAAGTAACAGGAAGAAAACAGAAGAAAAATGTCAGTTTTGGGGAATTTGTGAGCCCATACATGATAGAATTCTTTGTTCTGAAAGAAAGAGGACTTATAATAACTATGTCTAAGTCTAATAACTATATTTTAGGTTGTGAATTGAACTATGTAGCCAGCACCCCTCCACCTACCCTCAATTCATATGCTGAAGCCCTATCTTCCAATGGGACTGATTTGGTAATAAGGACTCCAAGTAGTTAAGACTAAATGAAGTCATAAAGGTTAGGTTAGAAAATAAAGAGACACCAGCAACATGGAGGAAAAGATATGAAAGGACAAAAATATATGGTGGCCAACTGCAAGCCAGGAACAGAGATTCACCAGAAACCAATCAGGCCAGTGTCTTGACCTTGAACTTCCAATTATCTAAAACCATGAGACAATAAATTTCTGCTGTTTAAATCACCTGGTAGTATTTTGTTGTGGTAGCCTAGCAAATCAATACAGCCTTGATACACATTTACAACCCAGGGAATCTTGGCACTAGGCTACAATACCATTACAATTGATCTCCTTGAAAGTGCAATAAACAAACCATCTTGCCTCCCATTTTTTGCAGCACTCTAGGGTGAACTTGTTCCAATATTCACTTTATTTTTGTAATACTGGTTTACTTTTCACATAATCTCAAAGAAAAAAAATTTACTTACCATTCCAGGTCAAACCCATTTCAAGACAAATTTTAGGTTTAAAAGTCAACAACATATAGGGAAAAAAATAAGCAAAAAAATCTAATATTTCTAAAATTCCCATAATTTCCTAAACGTAAAATGTAAGACCCTATATAGGAATACATAAACAGTTCTAATTATAGACAAAGCTTAAACTCTGGTAATTTAAAGATAAAATATGGAACAAGATGGAGAAAATATTTGCATATACAAAATATGAACATGCTCAATATGTAACACATAAAATGTTACTAAAAGCATTGTGAAGATTCACACTTCAGAAATGGTTAACTTACAAAAAAATTCCACAGAAACTTTAACATTAATATAAACTGAAATTAGGTACTTATTTTTCTTTAACAAAAGCTCAAAGTAATACTTCTTCAACAGACTGTCATTAATTTATTCAAGTGACAAAAAGAACTTTGCATCTTTTCCTAAGCTTCTTGAGTTGATTTTTTTTCCTACAGTTGTTTCTAGAGCATTCATTATTTTTATATGAAAACACAAATATGACAAAGATTTTTATCAAAAACAAAATAAGTCAAAATCAATGCAATAAAATAAAGAGGAATGTAAGTGATGATACCAACTGAACAAACAAATGTGGCACTGATACAGATGCACATTTTATTGATATTGACACTAATGTCTGAAGTGGAAGAGCCATTTAAAAGATCTTATGATTATAGCACGTGGCCCATCTCAGGTGCTACATAAATCAGAATCTGTTCACTGAATGAATACATTCCACTCAAGGTTAAAGTCTCCATTCCCTAATAACACTGATACACTTTCTTTAATGAAGCGACTGCTAAGTAGTCAAATGACTAAGGTAAAAAATTACACATTTGGAGCTAGTTGAAGTCTCAACTAAATCTAGGATTTTGAGATACCTTCACTGTCCTCTGGATTTTCTTCTTCATTGGAGGCTTCAATATCTTCATCCTCCTGAGCAGAAACAGTAGAAGCTACACTTTCACACTGAGACACATCTCGCTCTTCGCGAGGCTTTCGTGAAGTCTAAAAGAGTAGGAAATATTAAGTTTGTTTCTGATTTAAATAACTACAAGAAAAAAAACTTCTTCACATCTAAAATAACAAAGAACACTACACACAGACACAGAGCAAGAAAGCTGCATGCTCAACAACTGCTCTGGTTCAACTGCAGTTACTCTAGGTCAAAAGTGCCATCTTGCTTTTATTGCTTTCATCAAACCAATCGAAAGTTACACCTGAACCATTTTTTGGAAGTACTTATTACTATGCATGTACAAAACCCAAAAATCAGAAAACTCTTGTTCTTCCACATCCAAAAAATGTACATTCTTAATAAACATACATTTTCCCTAGCACAAATACCAAAATGCACTTTCCTAATTAACATACATTTTCCTAGCAAAAATAGCATGCATTGAAATGTGAAAAATAAAAAGAGAAAATAATGTTAAGAAAAACAGTAATTGCTCATAGTTTTCCACCTAGAGATAACAGGCATTTTATCTGGTATTTTGTTATAATACTGGTATTTTCTCTTTCACTCTATTAAATGCATTTACAAGTACACAAGCTAAACAAAACCAGTAAGTTTCTCTCTCTTTTTTTTTTTTTACAGATTTATTTATTTATGTATACAGAACTGGAGTACAGGCCAGAGGTAAGAGGGAAGAGGATTCACCAGAGACAGAGTGGGCAGATCTATGAAGTACACTGCTGAGGAGAACAGTGGGCAGGTCAGGAGAGGTTACCTACAAGAGCTGGGGATCAAACTTGCATGAAGCACCAAAGCGGCTGTGGCTAGCTTGCAGCGCTGTGCTTTAACCAACTGCATTACCAGGGAGGGCCCAAAAACAGTAAGTTTCTATGGAATTATATATCCTATATGATTTAACCAAATAGTCACAAACTGAACATATTCATAAATCATAAATTTTTAAAAGCATTATTTTTATTAATGGGTCCATAAAACACTGTCAACATATATTTTCAATTCGCCTATTTTAAGGCATTCAGGGAATATTTAACTTTTGGTATTGCAAATAATGCTATAAAAACTCTTCTAGCAGTGGCTTCACTTTTTCACCAGCATTAAGAATAATGTTATTTTAAAATAAATTTTAAAAAAGAATGCTATTTTATAAACAACAACTCATCATACCAATCATCATCAGTGTGATTAAATTTTTTACTATTAATCATGATAAATTCTTTTTTTTTCTTTAATAGGATTTTAGCTTCTGCAAAGTATGTTTACATGAAACTGCTCACTTGTCTAATGGAGTAACATCTGTAAGGTTATATGTGTAAATATTTAAAAGTAAGACATTAGCCATTTGACATATATAATCTTATGTGGCTAAATATAGATAGGTCTCCTGTCTTTACAGACCCAAGAGTCCAAGTCCTAATAGTTCTCTGCTTTTTATAGAGTCCAGACCGTAGTAATCTTTCACAATGAGATTTCTCATAGAGTAAAATAATTATAATCCCAACTATAAAAAGCTACCAGTATTTTTATTGTTGTTTGTAGTTTAGAGATGAATATGCTACTTTGGACTCAACTTATTATTTAAATCAAAAGAAACAATAATTTTCTGGTGTCAGAATCACAAAAAATGCTAAAGGTTAAGAAAAATCCATCTTTATATTTCTAGCAGGAATGTAAAAAGCAAAGAATTACAGATATTGGCTATACTCTTTTTTTTCTTCTTTACATTATTCTTATTTTGTACTTTTTTTTTTTAATCTCATGGACTTCCTACCACCACTTCACCCATATGCCATCACTATAGTCTCAGGTGCTCTTCCCACCTCATTTTCGGTCTTAATCCCCTCTCCTGCCCCACAGAATGTCTCTGGTTTATAGTTGTTAACTGATGTTATTTTTTTACTTTATTACGATTTCTCTTTCTTTCTCTTTATATGTGTATATATGTATGTATGTATATCATTCAGAAGAACTCTATAATATTTTAAGCATTAAAAAACACCTATAGTATAGATTCTCTCTATGCCCAATCTGTTTCCCTCCTTTGCCAATACTAACCCATTCTGTTTGATACTTTCACAGAAAACTGCAGTAAAGACAACTTTTTACCAGTATATTGCAACATTCCTGCCTTCATATACAACAGTCTACTATAGATCCAAGTATTTTCTCTATATGTAGTAAATATGTGTGTGTACAGTATTCACAAATTTTTAATTAATTGTTTACTATACAGAAATCTTCCAATGAAATTTAATAGACAAAAGACATTTTGCCATTTTTTTTTCTTGAGGTCTTTTTAAAAATCATTAAATATTCTAGATAAACAAATTTCTATTATTTTGGTTGTAATTAAAATGATTAGAATAAAAATTTTTAAAGATATCTGTGATGGTTAATTTTGTGTCAACTTGGCTAGGCCACAGTATCCAAGTATTTGGTCAAACATTATCCCAGCTATTTCTGTGTCATTGGCTTTCGGATATGATTAAGTCAATGGACTAATCAGTGGAGCATAATGTGAATGGAGTTAGGCTTATCCAATCAACTGAACTTCTTAGTACAATAAAGATTAAGCATTCTTTACACCCTACACAACACACACACCCTACAAAGAAGGAATTTGGCCAGCAGTCTCCACCTGCACCTGCAACTCATCGCTGAGTCTCCAGACTGTCAAACCCCTTCGGATTTGGACCTCCAAAATTACCATCAAATTCTTACATCTCAAATATATACCCAGAAACCCTGCTGTCCTCCACAACTACGCAACCCCCCCTCCACCCCAACACACACACCATGTTGGTTCTGTTTCTCTGAAGAACCCTGAATTATACAATCTTTGTTTTTAAAACAGTGTCTGATTCACTCTTTACTTTTCCCAAACAATATTTTTAAGCAATATTTGGTGAAGCTCAGTCTTGTCACACTTTTTGTTATTGTAGCTGCTTGCTTTCCTTTTAGTTGCTACAGTACATTTTTAACTCTTACATTCTTATTTTTAACTAAAAGCTCTTTGTATACAATTTTTTAAGTCAATGTTATACTTCGAATGCTCTTACTTGTAAGTGCAAATCTAAGCACATATAAATATCCACTCTTATTACCCAATCTTTAATGAATGTCAAACTAGTTGGCCTAAGGACACAACACATATTAGAGACCCTAAAGAATTTTTGTTCAATGAGGGTTTTAGATATATAGATATTGATATTTACTATATTAAAATTTACAACTGAAGTATTGTTAAAATATTTAACTGAAAAACAGTAATAACATGTTGACATAAAGCACATATTTTTAATTAAAAGTTACTATAAAAAACAGTGAAACAGTCACACTGTTTTACATTTTTAGAAATCTTTTAGTGTCCAGTAGGAAACAGCATAATTTTCAAATGTGCTTCCTCTAGAAATCTAGTAAATGGAGATAATACAGTTTGGGTAGAAGTAGATGAAAAAAAATCTGTCCTCCCAGAGAAATGTAGTTCGAAAAGGAACTCATTATTTAATAGACTTTCAGATGACCATGGATACTATTCCTTGTACCAAACTCAGCAAACAGTTATTTAAAATCAGATGCAATATAAAATCTGAATCTGTATTAACAAAATTGAAATCTGACACTGTATTAACAAAATTGAAACCTAAAGCCCTACCAGCAGAGTTTTTGTAGTCTATTAAAATTTATTCTTCTGAACTCTGGTGTATTAAAAAATACACATCTGGAGTATACTATTACACAGATTTTTTAAAATTTGCATACATTTTCTTATATAATACCAAAATATCATGAGTTATTATTACCACTGATACCATCAGAAGTCTTTAAGTTCTTGGGAATATTTTAAGCTCCTGGTAAAGGATCTATTTTCCAAAATTCTAATTTTTACTTCAAAGCTCAAAACTTGTAAGCAGCAACAGATAATACTGTGTTTTGTTTTGTTTTGACAGACTATGTTTACAGAAAATATCTGCAAACATTCAAGCCTGAAAAAAAATCACTTTGCCTGTCATTCTTTTTTTTTCCAAAGATTTATTTTATTCATATAGAACTGGGGTACAGGTCAGAGGTGCAGGGGCAGTGAGAAGATTCACCATAGTCAGAATAGGGACGAAGTACACTGCTGAGGGGAGCAGTAGGCGGGTCAGGAGATGTCTGCCACGCCATGTGGATCACCTCTGGAGCGGGGATCAAACTCACAGCAAAGCTGCTGCTGCCATCTTCGCAGTGCTGCACTTTAATCTGTTGCACCACCAGGGAGGGCCTGCCTGTCATTCTTTTTATCAAAAATGGTATTTCATAAAAAGATGGAGATAAGTTCAGCTTGTAACTTAAATTACTGAGAAAGTATTTGAAAGAACCGCCATACTTGGTATACAGCAGAAGAGCTTTAGGCAGACTTTGCACTTGTTCACATATGTGCTGAAATATACTCAAAGATGAAGATACAATAAAGCTAAATCTTGCTTGATCAAGGACATTCATAAATAAAAATGACATTCATAATGTCACATTCATAAATGAAACTGGCATTAAACAAAACTGCACCTAGACATGAAAAACAAATTGCAGTTAGCACAGTATGACCCCACTATGATTCATACTAAGGCATTTAGCTCTTTCTGCCAATATTGTTTTGTCATCATGAATGCAAATGTCAATGCAGTGGGGAATAGTAAAGGACGTATGAAAATAGTTTTAACATTATTAACCCACGGACTTTGAGAATACTGGAACTCCCTTGTTAAACAAGTTTCAATAATCTTAAACTTTCTGGCTTTTAATATTTATACCAAGGAATTTTTCTGAGAAAAGTTCTTTTAATGTAACAAATGAACTTATTCAACATGTACAATAGAATTACTTGTATTTTTCAAAACCAGTCCACATTAGTTCAAAGACTTTGGATTCCCATTATTCAAGTAAAAACTGCATTCCTTGATCAGTAAATGGAGAACTAGTCAACCTGTGCCAAGAAACAAGTACATCCTTTACAGGAAGATACAATAAATAAAAAAATACAAGACAAGAATTTTTCTCTCAAAACCAATCTTATCATCCTCTTTCCCCCCAGCCTCACCAAAAAAACAAAAACACCTATAACAGCTCTCCTGCCTTTCTGTGACTATCCAATCATTTCTTTTCACAAACCTTTCCCTTTGCAAAGTAGCAGTTCTTTTCACACCTTTATTTATGCAAGTGTCTCTATTTTTTTCCCTTTTCCTAATAAGCCTATTCTTAAAATATTTTTAAAAAACAAAACAAAAATACCCAACCTATAATAAAAGATGGTAAATAAAAAGTTCAACACCTCTCATTTACTCACTTTCTGCTTATGCTGCTGCAAAAGGTTATCAAGATTGTGTCGCCTTTTATAGTTAAAATAGAAATTTTTACATTGAGCTTCACTCTTTGTTCCCACCATTTTGGCAATTGCTGCCCAGTTACGGCCATGTTCTACTAAACCTGTATTTTGAAAACAGACAAAATATTAATTGTATAGTCACCTGATAAGCCAACAAGAGGGGGAAAAAATTCAATTATTGTATTGATAATCATTAACACTAAAAGTGTGCTTTCAGTAATTTACTGAAATACTGAAGTACTTATTGAAATAGGTACTGATATACAAAATCACTGACAGTTCTATTTCCCACCTACATTTAAAACATACTTATTAATGGAAAAGTTCAACTGATCCTTACTGTGTATTTCCTACCAGGCCAGGACAATGTTGGACACATAGTATTAGGTCAAACTTTTAAATTGAGTGATAAAGTGCATCTAAGTCACTGAGGACAAACCTAGTAAAATTATTAATATAATTCATTTACACAAATATATATATATACACATATACATATAAAGCTCTGTAAAAGGCATATCTATTTGCAATCAAGCAATTTTACACTTCTTTAACCAAATACATGTACACATACACATAAATAGAGGTGCAAGGAATATGGATAAATTCACATAGAAAAATATGTACAAAAAATATACTTTAGATACAAGTGCACCCAAGCAGAGATGTTCACAAGTTTAAAATTGTAGAGGAAGACATCTGGTTTTTAAGATTAATATAAGTAGCTCCCTTAACAATGATAGGTGGAGTATCATTTCCAAATGATATGAATAAGAAATGAAAAGAGTAGTGTCTAAACACTATTTAGATGGTTAAACAGGTATACATGCAGGTATTATCTGCCTAAAAAAAAATTTATATTATGGCTAACATCTACTTTACTGTGACATTTTTACGATCAGGAGGGAACAAATGTGAATATTATAAAGTTATGCATCTAATCATAGTAAATAATAAATTTGCTAATCATGGCAAATTAACCTCAAATAAAAATATTTTGACGATAGAACACTTTTAACTGCTATAGATTTGGCAAAGTTGACTTATATGATACTTAGAGGCATTACTCATCACCTACTATATAAAAATGCAAAATATGTCACTAAAAGATCAAGATATTTACAATATTTTTTTCTTTAGAACTACAAAGTAAACACTTAACACCTCTCCACCAATTTTATTTTAAAAGATAAATTTTTATTTATAAACCAATTATATCAGAAATTTTACTTTGCTTTCAAAGTACACAACATTAGTAAACAACGAGAGTCATATGAGAGAAATAGGAGTCATAAAATTCCAGAGTATGTAGACTATGCATATATAAGAGCCTATATTGTCTAATAAAAAGACCTTCAAAATAAAAATGGGACTTTTAAGGCATACTGTGGTAACTTATTGGGTAACACATCATTAAAAAGAACTCTTAAGTTTATTTCTAAAATTAAATTCACCACTCTGAAAGAATGTATTCTTTAATTAAAAAAAAAAAAGCCTCATCTCACTCATCATTAATAACCCTAAACAGATGTAAAGAAGCTGAATCATTTACCTTTTTTAGCGACTTCCATTTCTTCTTCTGTCCATCGAGAGGTTTCTACAGGCTCTGTAGAAACTGAAATAAAGATAAAGGATCCAGTAAGGCTTCTTTAATTTAATTAAGTTAAATTCTTTCTTCATAGATTGTATGGTACCAATCATAAAATCTTTAGCCTATTTGGCCCTCCCTGGTGGCGCAGCGGGTAAATGCACAGCACTGAGAAGCTAAAGCCACTTCCTCATGAGTTCGACTCCCGCCTGCCCCGGAGGTGACCACATGGCGTGGCAGACCTCTCCTGACCCGCCCGCTGCTCCCCTCAGCAGTGTACTTCGTAGATCTGCCTGTTTCTGCTCCCCACTCTGTCTCTGGTGAAGCCTCTCGCCACCCCTGAGCCTCTGGCCTGTACCCCAGTTCTGTATGAACAAATAAATAAATCTTTAAAAAAAAAAAAAAATCTTTAGCCTATTTATCTGATGGCTGTTTAAAACACCTCGTGGAAAAAAAAAAAAAAAGAACAATGGAAACAGGATGATACCAATCTCCTCCTCCACTAAACTAAAGGGGAAAATTCAACAATTCTCAGTATGATGGTCTTTTTTTCAAAGATCCTTAATATCCACCCATGTCTACATGTTGGAATAGTCTGAGTCCCTCTTCTGCAGGGTTTTCCCACCTGTGAGGGTTCCATCCCTGCTAGATAAGCATAGTTCTCTCTCATTTTCTGAACCCTCATCTCTTCTCACTGTTGAAGATGCTCATGTACATAAGGGCTGATAAGCACAGATGAATCAATACTGAACACTACTGGGCTTAAAATGAGCTCCTACTATACTTCCCTTAATTAATAGAAAGAGCATTCACCTAGTCAGTCATTTGAATTATCAACAGGATGCTTAGTGATTTTTTTAATTCTTTCTCTCATTTACCATCTACATCCAATAATGTGTATCAATTCTAATCTGAATGGGCCCTTGCTAATGATAACCTTCCAAATGATCGCTTTTCTCTCCAGCTCTTTCTCTTATCTGATCTCCACAACTGTGACCACAGTTATCCTTCCAAAACATAGTTTTCTTCTATTTAAAACCCTTGCAGTCTCCCTACTTTGTAAGCAAAGTGGGGCCTATCCCCAACCTTCTGTCCAGTTATTTCTCTCAAATCATTACTGCCATTCCTAGAACTTTTCTTTAATACTTCACATTATGATAAAATTGGTGTCAGTGAACCACCAATGGCAATACTCTTTATTAAGGTAATCCCTTTATAAACTAATGAGACAATACTTAGCAACAGAGGGAAGAAATCTTCCCTTGTCTAAGAATTTATTCCTAAAAAAAAATATTATTTCACAGGAAAATAATGTGAGTTAAAAGATTATTTTTTTATTCAAATGCTAGCTAAACTAGCTTAAAAGGAAGGAAGAGACAGCCTATCAGCAATAGGGAAGGGTTCCAGACATCAAGAATACCTTGCCAACATTACTCAGTCATCAAAAAATCAAACTGAAGATTACTTGGAAACTAGAAATTACATACGATATACAGCTACATTAGGAAAACAATATTGGGGCTGATTTTTTTTTTTAAAGAACTTGATATAAAAGTCATATTATTTGATATAAAAGGTCATAACTATTTTGCATTATTTGTAGGTTGTCAGCATTAGAGAGGTTCCTCCAGCTCTACCCTAATACAGAAACAGAATTCCAACACAACCATAGCCTGTTCCCTCCAATCTCATCCACTCACTGGGTTCTGGTGGAGGTGGCAAAGGTGGTGGGGGGTCCTCAGTGGCCGCTGCGGCTGCAGCACTGGCCGCTGCAGCTTCATTTGTCATGGACCTGGTTATGCGGCCCTTTCTGCGGCCCTGACTATTGGCTGTCTTTCGTCCCCGGGGTGTGGCCTGTTCTTTCTCCTCAGTTTCTTCTACTGCACCTTCTGTCTTGTCTTTTTCCTTGGTGTTTTCTCTAGAAACAAAAGTGAATAAAAAGTTTGTGTAATTTCAAAGTATACATCAGAGAAGATTCTATTTTTGAAAAATTTTTAAATAGAAAATGAATAAAACTATCCAATCTTTAGTACAATCAAAATTTACAAAAAATCTTGTGTCCCAATTTTGAAGAACTCTGACTAAAATTAAGATATTCACAAAATTCTGTTGTATATATTAATGGACTTAATACCTGAACACATTTCAAATTAAGTGATCTGAAAGCCAAAACATTCTAGGGGAAGTAGCAGCAGAAAACCCACTAAACCCTCTGTAATTCAAAGGGAGTAGGGTACATAAAAAGGCAGGAGTATGGATTTTTTTACTTGCATTGACATATATTTTCTCCTCAGTAAAAAGAAGAAGCTTAACAGATGGTCTCCAAGGGAGATGATCTACAATATCTTTTTATTAAAACCTAATTTGGGTGGGCCCCCCCTGGTGGCAAATGGAGTTGAATTGTAGCACTGTGAAGCTCTCCAATGGCCACTGTAGCACAAGTTCACACTCCCCCACCAGGGAAGTGACCCACATAATGTAGCAGATCTCTCCTGTCTCTTGTCCATTGTCCCCTTCAGCAGTGTATTTCAGTAGATCTACCTGTTCTGCTCCCCACTCTGTCTCTGGTGAAATCTCTCACCTCCCTCCTGTACCTCTGGCCTGCACCTCAACTCTTGTATGCATAAATAAATAAATCTTTTAAAATAAATAAATAAAGTAAAACCAGACTCAACATGCTAAATCATCTCTGGTACTAATTACATGCAAATAGGACAATCTGACCTATTAATTAGAATAAACTCTGGAGCCAGGTCTGTTTCTATGATTTACTAGGCCATGTTAAATAATTTTGGACGAGCTGCCTCACCTCCCTGTCAGTTTCCCCTTCTGCAAAATGAGGATAATAATGTATTTTAAAGGGCTGTTGCAAGGATTAAAGGAGCTAATTTATACAAAATGCTCAGAACAGTGACTGGGAAATAGCATCGTATGTGTTTGCTATGATTAAGATTAAACCTCCCTGGGCCCTCCCTGGTGGCACAGCAGGTTAAAAACACAGCACTAAGAAGCTAAAAAGCCACTTCAGCATGAGTTCGATCCCTCCCCCAAGGAGATACACATGGTGCGGCAGACCTCCCTCAGCAGTGTACTTCTTCAATCTGCCTGTTCTGCTCCCCCCTCTGTCTCTGGTGAATCTTCTTACTGCCCCTGCACCTCCGGCCTGTACCCCAGTTCTGTATACATAAATAAATATATCTTTAAAGAAAAAAAAAAACAGATTAAACCTCCCTTAGGTATTTAGCGTTTCAAGCACTTAGGGAAAACCCGATAATGGTTACTACTAATATTAATAGCAATATAAATAATACTGGAATACCATTCTCTGTACTAGTTATTCCCTAGTATATTTAAAAACAAGGTGCTTAATGTACGTTTTTGCATATGACTACATAGCTGGCAGTAATCAAAGATTCAGCTATTCTTGCTTCTTTGAAGGTATTGGTTTGGGGAGAGTTTTATTTTTTTATTTTATTTCCAAGTATAAGACTTGTTATGGCTCACTTACCAAGTTACAAGTTGGTGATCTGAAACCAGTATAAGAAAACAAAACTTCAAGAATTTTCCTGCATTCAGTCCTAATTACCCTTGAAGTTAATAAGTAGTCTTCTCTCCTTACTTCTGTTTTCTTACCAAAGACTAAAACTATAGTCTCTTATTAATGATATTTTGTCAGAATTCAAAAGTGAATTAGAAACCACAAAATCAAATAATCTTTCTCAATTCTCATCACTTTAGTCTTCCTGCCGCAACTGACACTGTGGATAACTCTTTTTTATAGCCTTTTCAACTTAGGTTTTTTTAGGATTTCACATGTTCCTAACACCCCTACTGCTATTCTGGCTCTCCTTCTGAGAACTGACTTTTTTCTCTAATCTTTTAATACAGAAATTTACCAAGGTTCTACCAGGCCTAAGAGCTCTGTAAGGCTGCCTATTTACCTCTGTGAGGTTATCAACTCTACTGGGATGACCTCAAATCTTTACCTCGAAACTCCATTTCCTAAGGCTCAGACTTACCTTCCCAACTACCTGCGGGAATAGTCAATTCAACTTATCAATACAAATGCAACAAATCCAAAATATATTCATCTTCATATCCTTCTTTCTTGCCTCCTAATTTCCTAGCTAATATTATACCATGTTCCAAGTCACTCAGGCTTACAGTTTTGATATCATCTCTAGTTTGCTCCCTTTTCCTTCCTTATATTAAATAAGTTTCAATTCAGTAATATTTCTCCTACAAATTCAATCTCTATTTCTCCTCTGAAATATTATTCAGTACTTAGTATCCCAATCTGTCCTTTATAACAGACTCCCTAACTCTTACATTTCTAACCCACAGATTCTATACTGCTAATAGAGCAATATTCTACAGAACTTTAGCAATAAACTATCCATTCTAACCTTATGCTATACTCAAAGAGACACCCATAGCCTCCTGAAAGAAGAAAACATTTTCACTTTTGTTGAGTCACATAATCTAACCCAGCTGCATCAACTTTTCTTTTCAGGCATCTATGTTTTAGTATACTGAAACTACTATCTGACATTTCTCAAAACAGTTTATCAGTTCATGCAGTTCCTTATACTCTACCATTAACTACTAGTTGTTGCATTAATGCTCCAAACTAAACAGAGTTAACCTTGATCTCTTCTTAATTGGTCAACGTACATTATTGGTCTACTCATTTTTTTTTTTTTTCAGATTTTTTTCTTGTCTTAAGTGGTATTTTTGCTTTGCTTAATTTCTCCCATAAGTTCACCAATTACCTGAGAATAGTACATATATTACCTATTTTGCATCCTCTGTAAAACCACATTCACATCAGTAATAAATGTATGAATAACTGCTAAATTAGAGAATTTAAGAAAAAAGTAAAATCAAGATAAAACAATTCCATGTGAATAAAATCACTGACCACATGGGTGTATAAATACCTGAACAACTGGAAGGAAAAAAAAAAACTTTATAGTAAGTATCTTCCTGTAGTATATAATTAGAATGCCATGAGTATCAAACTCTTGAAGAACTACTATGGCAGGGGCCTCCCTGCTAGCACAAGGGGTTAAAGCACAGCACTATGAAGCCACCTGCAGCCACAGCAGTAACAAGTTCAATCTCCAGCCAGGGAGCTAACTCACATGGCACAGCAGACCTCTCCTGTCTCACCTGCTGCTCCCTCAGCAGTGTATTTCAGTCTATCTGCCTGTCTCCTCCCCACTCTGTCTCTAGTGAATCCTCTCTCACACATACCCCCTGCACCTCTGGCCTGTACCCCAGTTCTTGTATGCATTAAAAAAAAGAACCATGGCAAATAATTTAGACTGTTTCAGTTACCACAAAACTAGATAAACCTTCAAATTTTCCACCAAAATTACAGAAATAACACAAGGATTACATGTTCTTTGATTCTATTTATAGGAAATTCTAGATAAGTAAAACAGATCTGCAATTGCCAGATACTGTAATGAGAAGAAAACTGCAAAGGAACCTTTTGGGGTGACAGAAATATTCTACATCACATAGTAGAAATGGTTTATGAGTACAAAAAAATTATCTGAATCCATTAACACTGGTAAATTTTATTTGACATAAACTACGCCTCAACAAAGCTAAAATTTGGAGGGAAAACAATCAACCCAGCTACTAAGGCCCCTATACTATTCTGTCCCAGTAAGTACACACAGCCATAAATAGTAGCTTTCTTTGAGAAGCAGAATCAAATCAACTCATTATATTGTGTTTTTCTCTTGATTTTCTATATTGAACAAGATTACTTTTATAACCAGGAAAACAGCAATAAAAACCACAAATAAACTAGGAGCTCTATCTTAATGATAAATAAAATCAATAAGACTGGAATATAAGGCATTAAATTAAAAAATCACTTATCACCATTTTTACATAAGTGTATACTCCTGAGATTCAAAAATAAATCTGAAGCTATCTTCCAAATCAAAGACTAAATTACACTCTCTCTAGTGACACTTGCTTATTTTTACAGTCAATGCCATTCAAGAAATTAATATCCCATGTCTGGCAAGTAAGTTCACTAGCCCGAAAGTTGTATTTACTAGAATAGTCAAATCCTTAGTTATATCAAATAACGATGGGAAAGCCAAAGCAAATACCCCACAGACTCTTTTATTTAAAATGTTTTAACTCCAGTAGTTTTAATTTCTTTATAAATCTTTTAATTTCCTTTAAAAAAAAACCTGTAATATTTCATTATTCATATTCAACTCTGTTTAACTCACTTAGAATCTTCCTTCTCATCCTTATCTTCTTCATCTTTCTTTTCCTCTTCTTTTTTTTCTGCTTTTTCTGCTTTATCTTCTTCTTTTTCTTCTACTTTTTCCTCTTGTGAGGGTCGGGCAATTTGCTGCTAGAAGGAACCAACATTAGCAAAGTTCAAAAGTAAAAGAAACAGCTACTCAAATTGTGGTGATGAATTATAGTAAATGTGAGGAAAATCTTTTAATGATTAATGTATTAATCAATTAGAGACCATGTATTAAAAACTAGTCTAATGTTTTTTATTGTTTCATATGTATTGATTATAAAAAAACATACATACAAAAATTCATGCCTGACCTACCAGAAGTGAACGTTAAGATTTCACTTAGAAATCTGAAATCTCAAAATGGTTCTCTCTTTTATCATTTAATAAACAATTAAAATATTTTAAAAATACTTCCTTTGTCATATTTCACAAAATCTATGACAGACTTCTTTCTCTTCTGGAGTTGTGGAGTGACTTCTCAAACAATCCCTAATAATGTACAGACCTCATTACATGGCACATTATCCTTGCTATTATTTTTAAGATTTCAAAATGCATCTCAATGACTTTTATAGCACTATGACATTCTGCACTTGAATTACTTTCAGGTCATGCCCATTAAATTCCCCCTAATTGAAACAGTGTCCTCACCAATCAGTTGGCACTACTACACTGCCAAGATCCTGACAGAAGAACATCTCTCCATCACCACCACCCATGCCTCACTCATCCTACATTTTCATTGTTGCCAATCCTGCTTTGTACTAGTCTTGAACTTTTACCCCTTTTTTATATGCAACTTTCACGGTCCATCAAGAATTACTCCACTTTGACCTTTTGATAAATCATTTCAATACCATGAGTCTCTTTCTCATTTTATCTGACCTTCCCAGTTTCTCACCCTACCTACTTTCCAGTTTCCTTTTCTTCTGAGATTTATTCTTATTACATAAAACTAAGAAATAGGGAAGATTTTCAAATGTATACTGTCCAGCTATGACAAGGTATGCTTTATAACTGGGAGTACTTATTCAAACTGACTGACTTCCTAGTATACCACAAGAAACAATTCAAATGCTAGTAACCTCACCCCACACACTTCCACAACTACAGCACTCATCTGTCATTCTGAACCAACAAGATCACATACCAACAACTAACTTGGCTCTTGGCATTGCAAGTGAACTTGCATAATCAGAAAATGGTTATTTTTACACATTTCCCTAAGAATTATGGGAAGGTATCAGCCAATTGAAGGTATGAGAGTTACTATTTCATTATACTTGGACAATACATTTAATCTTATTTCCCTATACTTTTCTACTTTGAATGTTAACCAGCACTCTGAAGTAAGTATGTAATGCCAAACACTCCCTGATGCCTGAAATCTAGGCAACAGCTGTCTTCAATCTCGTCCCCAGTAAGAAGACTAAGAAGCAGCTGGAGCACCTGCTTAAACCAGTCATTTGGAAGAAAAGCCCAGGACAGATCTAGAACAGAACCTCTTGCTCATCCCACAATGGCACTCACACTGGCTAGGTAGCAACCAGTGGAGAAAGGGTGCTAGGGAGGCCAGAGAGTGCAGTTAACAGCACTCAGAGTATAATTTGCTTTTTTTTTCCCTTAAGAAAAGCATATCTGTATCAAAAAGTGCCAATCCCCATCACCTAGGATGTAGGTTAATTATGTACCTTAACCCTATACATCTGAATAAAAATTACTCTCTATGAGTAAGAGATTGGAGGGGAAGTAAACAAATTAAAATTGAAAATATCGAGCATAAACTTCAGAAGAAACTTACAAAGCATTGAAATAAATTTGTTCTAATTTCTCTAGGATTACCTGAGTAAGTCCTACTGTTCAGACTTTATTGTATAATAAAGCAGTAAAGTGGTTTTCAAATTAGTTGGATCTCTATATTCACAAGGGTAAATTCCAAAGGTTGTCATACAAATTTAAAAATTCTTAACTTGTACTAGATTCTTTAGGAAATTTCTTCTATAAAGCAATTTCTGCATCTTCCACCCAGATCTTTTCCCTAACTACCACTTATATATCTAAGTGCCCGCTTGATATCTCCATTTACACATCCAAGAGGTGTCTGAAATTCAGCACATCCCAATTTGCTCACCAGTTCTGCCTCTCCTTCAGTCATGCTGATCACCAAATAAGTAACTCCATCAATCAAAACTTCAATTATCTTTGATGACCATTTTTCTTGATTCCTGCCAACTACCCCAAACAATCAGCAAAATCAATTTCTATACACAGAAATTGACCATCCTAGTCCAAGCCACTCAGATTATTAAAGTAACTTCCTAACTGGGAACTTGTTTCACTGAGAATTTGGGAAAAGAGGGAATTAATGATGCACACCAACGACAAAATGGAGATAAGATCTTTTTTGTTCTGAGAAACAACTAGAAAAATACAAAATCAGATGAAAAACTTAAGTCAATAACTTAAAAGCTAGGGCTAGACTGTAAGAAACTGAGCTTACCTGGTGGCTGGCATACTAAGATCAGGTGAAGATAAGTGTGCATATGGAAAACCTCACTTCTATAAATACATTCCGGGACATGCTAACAATGTTAGCACATGAAATGTTCAGAATACTAATATTGCTGGAACTTAACAAAGGCAAATATGCCACAGAGAGGAGTAAAATAGTGTCCCAGATAACATTTGTACAGAAAAATGATGTTTCAGAATAACAGATACTCCCCCACCACACAAAACTTCCCACTAAAGCTCTCTCCTCTGTCATCATAAGCAGCAGATTGCTAATCTGGCAAAGGTGAAATATAATAGATTATCCTCTAGTATTATGCTGGCATTGAAATATATTTAAGATAAACAATTTCTTAAAAAATAAAATTAGGCCCTCCCTGGTGGCGCAGCGGGTTGAAGCACAGCACTGAGAATCTAAAGCCGCTTCCGCATGAAGTTCGATTCCCGCCTGCCCCGGAGGTGACCACATGGCGCGGCAGACCTCTCCTGGCCCGCCCGCTGCTCCCCTCAGCAGTGTACTTCGTCAATCTGCCTGTTCTGCTCCCCGCTCTGTCTCTGGTGAGGCCTCTCACCGCCCCTGAGCCTCTGGCCTGTACCCCAGTTCTGTATGCACAAATAATAAATAAAAAAATCTTAAAAAAATAAAAATAAAAATAAAATAAAATTAAAGGCAGCCACTCCTCTGCCCACCTGTGACTATGCAGGTGCTTCTTTCCACCCACTCTCTCCCTCTGCAAGACAACAGCTTCCTGCCTGCCCTGACCTGTACCACGCCATGACTTCTCTGCACTGACCTCCCTCGGTGGATGCTGCTCTCCTAAGGCCACATGTGTGCAACCATCAGGCCTCTCTCTCTGTAAAACTGTTCCTTTCGGGGCAGCTCTTTCTGCCTGCTTGTGCCTATGCAAGTGCCTTTTCCTCTCCTGTGTCTTTCTAATAAACTTACTCTTTAAAAATAAAAATAAACAAGTAAATTAAAAGTTTTAAGTATTGTGTTGTAATTAGGAATAAAGCTATTATTAAAAATTTAGTAAGTGGGCCCTCCCTGGTGGCGCAGTGGGTTAAAGCACTGCACTGAGAAGCTAAAGCCACTTCCGCATGAGTTCGATCCCCGCCTGCCCTGGAGGAGATCCACATGGCGTGGCAGACCTCTCCTGACCCGCCTGCTGCTCCCCTCAGCAGTGTACTTCGTCGATCTGCCTGTTCTGCTCCCCACTCTGTCTCTGGTGAATCCTCTCACCCTCCGCATCTCTGGCCTATACCCCAGTTCTGGATGAATAAATCAATAAATCTTAAAAAAAAAATTTAGTAAGAAACTTGTTTAATATATTCACAGGTTTTGGGCACTCCCCAGTGGGGCAACAGGTTAAGGCACAGCACTATGAAACTATCTGCAATCACTGTAGCAGGAATTTGATCACCAGCCAGGGAGGTGACCCACATGGCCAAGTAGATCTCTCCTGACTCACCCACTGCTCCCCACAGCAGTGTGTTTCAGTACATCTGCTTGTGCTGTACCACAATCTGTCTGGTAAATCCTCTCATCACCTGCACCTCTAGCCTGTACCCCAGTTCTTGCATGTATAAATAAATAAATCTTTTAAAAATAGAAAAAGAAAAAAAGAAATAAAATATTAACAGGTTCTAGCATCTTTAGCTAAAAAACCCTGACTTTATTTTCTCTCTGGGAAGCAGAAAAGGTCCCAGATCCTTTGGTGAAAGAGCATTTCCTACTTCATTGCCAACATTCAATTTTCTCCCCTTCAGTTAACAAATCTTTATGGACCTCTAAAATCACCTCTTTGTCTCCAGGGGATTATTTCCATCAGTGTACAAGCATGATATTTTCCTCCCTCTGATCCTCATCACCCAATCCTCTCTTCTCTTTTATAAACAAATCAAACAAACAAGGGCATGCTTGTACTGTTGCCATTTACTCTCTTCAGCTCATGATAATCTTATTTCTGGTCCCCTCACCAATGTACTAAAAATGGATGGTAAAGTCACTTCATTTTATACAATCACTAGAACAGTATTTCAGAGAACTGACTCATGAAACAGCGCCCCGACACATTTTTTTTTTTTTGACCAGGAAATACTGTCTCTTAAGACTGTGTCATCAAATCTTATGAGGTAGTAATGTTCTGTAAGAAATAATTATCCAGAAAACACAAAAAGGTTATGGCTACAAACAATGATAGAACTATGTCAAATTTGGTGGCCAGGACACTTCAGGGAAGAAAGGAAGGACATGTGAGGAAACCAAGAGATTAAGGAATGCTAATAAACTGTCATCAGTGGTCAAGAGTTCATGCATGCAACTCCATATTGACTTATTCCTGGGTATGGAGAGGAACAGGCAATGGCATTACACAGCATCCTCTGGGTAAATATATGAGCTATGACAGTTATTGATCAGTTACTTGAGGGGAAACAATTTTTAAAGCATTGAATTGCAACTGTGAAAACATACTCTACTGTGTTAAAAAAAAAAACAAAACTACCTTTTTAGGTCAAGTGTTCTTAAGAATTAACCTAAACTCCAAAAATGAAGTTAATCTGATACATAATTAGATTCCAGATATTTCTGTAAACAATCCCATGCTTCTCTTCCTTATCCTACCTGTCTCCTCACATAAAAGGGTTAGTAATGATAGCATGTTAGGTCTTAAGGGTATCACATTAAGTTACATTATTATTGTTAACACTGAAAAGCATGATTTAGATGACAAAGAAGTGTAAAACTATTCTCATTAACGCTAGTACACTAGAAAAACATACAGCCAAAATAGAAGCTACACAGCATCATATATATAAAAACTTCAAAATAATTATAACAGGTTCATAACATCCTTATTAAGTTAATAGAAATGGCAATCCCTAAAGTATACATTAAGTACAAAGCTCCTATTTTTTTTTCAATATCCAAAAGGGCAGGCTTAATATAAAAGGGAGAGATGAATAAATGATCTTTCATATAAACAAAAGGGACAGAAAGGGCTGTCCAAGTGGGACAGGTTTGATAAGATAGAGGCCTACATGGTCGCAGGCAGGCAGCCTTGAGGAGAGCTACCCCCACGAGGGGAGGTCAGTGAAGACAAGCACCAACAAACATGGTACAGGTCATAGCCAGGCAGGAGGCTGCTGCCCTGTGGAGGGACAGAGAGTTGGTGAAAAGAAGCGCCTGCATAGGCAGAAGGACTGGTGCCCAAAGCTCCTATTATAATACTCTTCATCTTCATATTCTCACCAATTCTGAAACATCTTTCCATGCAATAATGAAACATACCTGGTTTCTTCCTCGGCGTTTTCCATAATTCCTTCTTACTAGGGCTTTATAATTCTCATTTTTCTTGGTTAAATAATAATATAAAACACAATCAGGGACACTCTGTAAGGAAAAACATTTTATTGAGGATCCAGTGAAACAAAAAATTCTAAAACACCATGTTAACACTTTTAAGGAAAATTTCTGGTATTCTGAAGTATAAACTGAAGAGAAACATACAGGCTCCAAAATAAATACACTATATCTACTATATTCATGGATGATTACAGCTTCCCTAATACAAATTATGTAAAAGACAAATTTAGTAACCAGTAACTAAATTACCTGACTCTATATATGTAAATATTCAAAATGTTTCTTCAACTATTTTGCTCAAAAATACTAAATCCATTGTGACAAAAATTCAGGGAAAATCAGTATTGTGATTTTTTAATTAGAAATTTAATGAGGTTCAAAAAGCATTACTTTCAGAGAAATATAATTATCAGGTCATTTTTCACTTAACATGAAAACTAAACTATGTTTTAAGATGTACTTAACTACATCTATGTTTTAGCTACATCTATGTTTTAACTACAACTATGTTTTAACTTGTACTTAAGATGTGCTAGCATATAATTGTAATATAACTCTATTAGTCCTATCAGAGTCCTTTCTGTATTAAGCCCTTTGCAAAAAACTACTCTAACTACTTATATGTATGAGAGTATAAAAATTTCAAAACAGGTCCTCCCTGGTGGCGCAGCGGGTTAAAGCACTGTACTAAGAAGCTAAAGCCACTTCCGCATGAGTTCGATTCCCGCCTGCCCCGGAGGCGACCACATGGCGAGGCAGACCTCTCCTGACCCGCCCGCTGCTCCCCTCAGCAGTGTACTTCGTCGACCTGCCTGTTCTGCTCCCCGCTCTGTCTCTGGTGAATCCTCTCACCCCCCGCACCTCTAGCTTGTACCCCAGTTCTGTATGAATAAATAAATAAATCTTAAAAAAAAAAAAAAATTTCAAAACAACACAAAGTATTTCCCCCAAAATCAAGAACAAAACATGAATGTCACCACTATTATTCAACAGAGTATTGGAAGGCCAAGCCTGAGCAATTAGACAAGAAAAAGACCTAATGGATCCAAACTGGAAAAGAAGAAGTAAACCTATCACCATTTGCAGATAGCATATATAAAAACATCCAAAAGACTTCACAAAAAAACTAGAAGTAATAAATGATTATAGTAAAGTGGCAGAACACAAAATCAACACATAAAAATCAGCAAACACAAACAATGAATTAGAAGAGAATTGAGGCCTCTCGCTGGTGTCACAACAGGTTAAAGTGCAGCACTATGAAGCTACAGCAGCAAATGCAGCATCAGTTAAATCCTGGCCAGGGAGATGACCCATATGGTGCAGCAGACCTCTCCTATCTCACCCACTGCTTCCCTCAGCAGTGTATTTCAGTAGATCTGCTTGTTCTGATCCCACTGTCTCTAGTAAATCCTCTCACCAGCCCCCATGCCTCTGGTGTGTACCCCAGTTCTTCTATGCATAAATAAATAACTCTTCAGAGGAAAAAAGAAGAGTTGAGGAAGCAATTCCATTTAACATTGTACATAAAAAGATGAACTGCCTAAGAATAAATTTAACAAATGAAGCAAATGAATTATCCAATAAAAACTGTTGGGGCCCTCCCTGGTGGCGCAGCGGGTTAAAGCACAGCACTAAGAAGCTTAAGTCACTTCCTCATGAGTTCCATCCCTGCCTGCCCTGGAAGAGATCCACATGGCGTGGCAGACCTCTCCTGACCCGCCCACTGCTCCCCTCAGCAGTGTACTTCATCGATCTGCCTGTTCTGTACCCCGCTCTGTCTCTGGTGAATCCTCTCACCCTCCGCATCTCTGGCCTGTACCCCAGTTCTGTATGAATAAATAAATCTTTTAAAAAAAAAAACTGTTGGATGTTATATAAGGAATTAAAAGAAGACAAAGAAATAGAAAGATATCCTGTGTTCATGGGTTGGAAAAATTAACATCATTAAAATGGCCACAACACCTAAAGCAATTTACAGATTCAATGCAATACCTATCAAAATCTCAGTGACGTTCTTCAAAGAAATAGAACATCAGTCACAAATGTATATGGAACTACAAAGGTCCCAAGTAGCCAAAGCAATCCTCAGAGAAAAGGAGAAAAATAAAGGTATCATGCCCCTGACTTAAGAGTGATATTGATCAAAACTCTTCGGTACTGGAATAAAACCATAATACAGACCAAAGAAGCAGAATAGAACCCAGGGATAAACCCACACAAATAGGAATAGTTAACCTTTGGCTTAGGAACCATGATCATACACTAGAAATAGGAAAAGCCTCGTCCAGTGGTACTGGGAACACTACATCCTAGAAAGCCAAATGCAAAAAAAAAGCATACTAAACTATTACTTAGCTCTGTATACAAAACTTAATTCAAAATGTACTAAAGACTTGCATGTAAGCCCTGAAACCTTAATACATTAGTACAAAAAACACAGGTGATACACTCCTGGACAAAAGTAAACAAATGGTACTACATCAAACTGAAAAGGTACCTGAAAAGAACTCATGGAAAAAAAAAAGTAACCTACAGACTGGAAAAATATTTGCAAATCACATATCTGATGAGAGGGTGATTCCCAAAATAATTAAATAAATAATTCAACAGCAGCAGCAGCCCAATCAGAAAATGGGCAAAAGCCCTAAACAAACATTTCTCCAAAGAAAACAGATAGCCCTACAGGCACATTAAAAAAAAAAAAATAACAAAAACTCAATGTCACTTATTATGAGGAAAATACAAATCAAAACCACAGTGAGATATCGCCTCTCCTGTGTGAGAATGACTTATAACAAAAAGATCAGAAACAACATCAGTGAAGACTTAAAAAGGAACTCTCATCCATTGTTAGTGGGAGTGTAAGTTGGGGTTACCTTTATGGATAATGGGGTAGGATCCCACAAAAAAAAACCCTGAACTAAAAACTGAAAGACTGTATGATCCAGCAATACCACAGCCAGGTATTTATGCAAAGAATACAAAAACATTAATGTGAAAGATTTGTGCACTACCATGTTCATCACAGCAATATTTATAAAAGTCAGGATATGAAGTCAATCTAAAAGTCCATCCAGAGATGAATGGATTAAAAAAAAAAGTGAAATATATACTCATGAGAATACTACGCAATCAACAAAATAGATGAAATAGTGCCTTTTGGGACAAAAGGGGTGGATGTTGTGGTGATTATGCTAAGTGAAGTAAGTCAGAAAGTGAAAAAAATACTGATGGTCTCACTCACTTGTGGAATATAAATAAATAAACTGGCAAAACAGCAAGAGTAATTCTCAGACTGTATGACTAACTATACCAGAAAACAACAGAAAATGGTGGGGAGGGAGAAGGATGTAAGGGAAAGAAGATGCTGGTTGTGAAACTGGGGCTTTGATGGAGTATGGCACATTCACATATGGAGGCATGAAGTTGTACTCCCAAAAATATAGTTGTGTAAACTAGTGGCAAGTCAATAAAACTTAAAAAGTTAAAGTGGCAGAAGAATTTCAAGCAAAAATGCTAATAAACCCATTAACGTTCTGAAGGCAGTTTCTTACCTTCCTTTCCAAGTAGGATGCAATCAGTCCAAAGTTTTTTGGATGCTGGATAAACCTGAATTTAAAAAACAAAACAACAAAAATCTATTTAAAACCTTAAGAAGTTAAAAACAATCTGAAAATAAAATATTAAGCACATACTAATTCCCAGTGATTTCTACTTGTCCTCTGAGGAACAACTAACTGCAGAATCACTGGAGGCTTTTAGGGGCAGGTCCCCAGCAACTTCACTAGGAAGTAGTTAGAATGATGGACAGTAGGGTACAAAATCTGTACTTTCCAAAGAATTCCCTCACATGATCTGGATACCCACTCAAGTTTGGGTACCACTCTTAACCATGATTCCATAAATCCCAGTTGTCATCTGTTACCTGTATTGCTTACAGAATAATAAGATAAGCTTTTGGAAAAGTCCCATCAAATCTATATTCACCACAGTACCCTATCAAATGCCAAAAGAGGGCTAAGTTTTGGGGTAAACAGTTCAATTTACAAGTAAATGTCACTAACTTTATACTGACTTCTATAAGAGCATAGTTTAAAATTTAAATTACTTGTCCTTAAAGATTTCCTTCTCATGGTCAGTCCAAACATTCATAAACTGCCTATCTTTATAAACCTTCATGGGATCTTCCATAAGTCCATTCATGTTAATGAATTTGACCCGTCTCTGTTCTGCATCAAACATCATAGGTGGGATCACAGAGAGCTGCCGCATTTGTTTCTCATTATTCTGCAAAGAAATAGAATTTCTTAGACAAGTACTTAAAGAGGGCCATAGACCAACTGTCTTAATACACACTAAAAAAGTTATGTAGCGGGCCCTCCCTGGTGGCGCAGCGGGTTAAAGCACAGCACTGAGAATCTGAAGCCACTTCCGTATGAGTTCGATTCCCGCCTGCCGCCTGCCCCAGAGGAGACCACATGGCGAGCCAGACCTCTCCTGACCCGCCCGCTGCTCCCCTCAGCAGTGTACTTCGTCGATCTGCCTGTTCTGCTCCCCACTCTGTCTCTGGTGAAGCCTCTCACTGCCCCTGAGCCTCTGGCCTGTACCCCAGTTCTGTATGAATAAATAAATAAATCTTTAAAAAAAAAAAAAAAAGTTATGTAGCTTAATGACCTTAGTAATGTATGCCATGGCATCTAACATACAGTAATTACTTCTATCAAATAAATGTCAATTGAGTGCATTAAGAGGGACATAATAGTTCACAAAAAAAAGATGCAAAGTAATGTCAAGTTCATTGAAGCAGTGACTTAATAAGTATTCATGTAATTAAATGCTACAAAGCATTAACATTTTAGAAAATAAGTAGAAAAATAAGCAAATTTTAAGTTAACTAAAGTCACTTTAGCATTAAATATTCCTTGCTATGCTAACAATCTTTCCATTAAAATTTTAAGACTATTAGCCTTAGAATTTCAATTAAAACTTTATTTCCTCTATGTAATTAATTTTTCCCAAAGTTTAATTCAGTAAGGTTGTAGATATAAACTTGCATGAATTTGTTTCTTACCAAAATTACAAGTGTTTAATCAAATATAAGGTTAGGCTTTTTCCTAAAACTCTTCTTCAGAAAAGTAGATATGCACGTAACAGAAAAGTTTTTACAAAGTGTTTAATTTTAGGGATTTTTCTCAATCCTCTTGAATGCCAGAGTCTGTTTTAAACAAATACTAAACTGAAATACATCAACTGAAACTAGTTTTTGGATGTTTAGAGGTGTCCCTTAAATGAATCAGTCAAAAAGCAAAGACATTTAACAGAGGCTCAGTATTCACTGCATGGACTATGATCACAAATTCCAAAATATAGAGCAATATAATAAATGTCTGTGATCATTACTTTAGGGGGTCACCACATTCAATAAGTAAGATTTTCAGAATTTATAAAATCAAAACTGGCAAACTTCAACAGATAGTGAATGACGCTGAGATCAATTTTAACAGAGTTTGAACACAGCTAAGAACTGAAATTTATTCTCTTATTAATAATCATTTCTCTCTCCCAAGGCTCCCCTAGGTGGAAACCACCTTTGGAGTTCCTACCAGCACCTCGGATCCACAACTGAACATACCAACACCTGCAAAATACATACTCCCTTTGCTATTTTAGGCAGTGTCAACACTAGCTCAGTCCTCTGACCAAGAAATCAGGGAACTATTGCCATTTTTCTTCTTCTTTCTTATCCAGTTAATCTATTCATCTTGTCTTCTCCACTGCAATTTCTATTAGTGTCTTCTCTACAACCCTACTACTGTTGTCCTGACTCAGACCCTATTTTTACCCAAACTCTTCAAACACCTTCCTGTTACAAAAAACATCTCTGTGAAGTCTTTGTAAAATGCAAACATGATCATGTGACTGACTTGTTTAAAATTTTTCAGTGGTTGGTTGAAAACCTGGAACAATCCAAACTCTATATTCCTTTGTTTACATAAAAGTAAATCCTTAGTAGGCCTCCCTGGTGGCACAGATGTTAAAGTCTCAGAGTTATAAAGCTATCAGCAGCCACTGCAGCATGAGTTGGATCCCCATCCAGGGAGCTGACCCACATGGCACAGCAGACCTCTCCTCTCTCATCCACTGTTCCCCATAGCAGTGTATTTCAGTAGAGTCGCCTGTTCTGCTCCCCACTCACTCTCTAACAGATCTTCTCATTTTCCCCCATCTCTGGCCTGTACCCCAGTTCTTGTATACATAAATAAATAAAAATAAATCTTTAAATAAATAAACCACTAGTTACTAGGATATAAGGCTAAAATGCCTGAATAATTAAATCAATTAATTTTCTTACCTCCTGCTCAGAAAGCCCATCAATAATTTCAGAAATTTCATGCTCACTCCTAGCAATGGTGGCTGAAAGACCAGCTCCCCTCTGTCCAACTCTAAATATGAGAGAGAAATAAATATATTTTAAAGTCTTTTATAAAGGCTAAATTACTCTTATAAACATTTTTCTGAATGATATTTTTTTACTGAACTTAAGTCAGAGAAAAAAACTGAAAATGTCATTAACTACTTTTCAGCAAATATTATATTTAAATGTTGTAAGTTAAAAGTTACATGTCAAAGTTCAAATGGCATAGTCCTTATGTAAAATTTCTAGAAAACCACTTAATAGTGCCATTTCAAGTAGCAGCTTTTTGTCTGCCTTCCAGAGGGTTGCAGGCTTAGAAAAACACATTAGACATTTTTAAAGAGAAGAAGAAATACTATTTATTATACAACTATAATCCCCTCACAAAAATCTTAACTGTGATTAAAAGTGCTTATAGGACATTTACATGAGAGAATGGAGATGAAAACTAAAGCTTTTAAAGCCTTTGCAAAATACTTGTTCTCTAAAAGTAAAAAGAAATCAAAATATATTAACATCAAAGGGTTTCTTAATTACCAATCAAGTTAGTGTCCTTTGGTGATGAAATATTAAGAGATATGAGGTCTATTCTTATTGATTGTAATTTCCAAAGGAATAGATATTTTTCAAAAACTAAAGAATTTTGAAATATTCACTTAAATTTAGATTCAACAGTATGATTAAATATTAAAAAATTAATGCTAAATTTACAAAGATGTTTATTGGTTGATAATGGAATTTTATATTTAAAAAATTTCTTATGAATTTTCTTAATAATCTTCATTTAACAAAAAAGTAAAAAGAGCAAAGTGTGATTCAAAAGAAAAATTGTACAGCTAATAAATATCAAACTATTTACCGTTGGAATCTTTCTTGCTGTTCTCTTTGCTTTCGAATTTCTGGAAACTGCTTTTCATAGTACTCCCTTGTTTTGCTTTCTTTAGCTTTCCTCCGAGGATTATTTTCTATTCTGTCCACTTTTTTCTCCCATGCCTCCATGAGCTGATCATAACGTTGGCAGATTTTTTGTTCCTATTAAATACCCGTGCAAATCAATAATTAAACTAAACTATGATTTTGACAAACCTATTATAGTCAAGTCAAAAGTACATTTGGCCTACGATTCAACTGTGAATAAAAAGCTGTCCTTGATCTTAAAAGGAGCTCCTGTTTTCCTATGAAAGATCAACATACAGAGCATATTTTAGCTGGGATTTTTCATTCACTTTAAGAATATACAAAGTAATAAACTAATGAACTACAACTAGCGGCCGACAGTCATTTTTATTTTTTTCTGATAACAATGTCTTCATTGTTCAAAAAAATTGGGAAATTAAAAAACAGAAACATGTAAATACTCTATATCCAAATCACCTACAAGGAATGGTACTAACATTTTGTTGTCACTTTCCAATCTGTCAGAAAACACACCGTAACAGTTCCTCTATTGCTGCAGGTTTCAGTTACTTGCAATTTTTTGCTATAAGAAATAAAGCTATATAAACAAACATTTTTGACAGTGCGGAAAAGGCAGAAACTGGCTGTGTTTTATGGTTAAAAAGAAGTCCAACAAAACACATTAAGCTTAAAATTAATGTCTTTCAGAATCAGTCAAGCATGACCCTATTTCTTAAATACAGATGAAAACGCAGAAAAACCCTCGATATGTGAACAGAACTGTCTACCTATCTAATGTCATACAAAAAATGATGTGAAAGGGCTCATGAAAGACTGTTAACATTGATCATCTCAGAAACTGGCATTTGAGAAGAGAGTATTATCTTCCTCACACCCAATACCAATCCTCTACCCCTATTTCCTAATCATTCTTTTCAACGCCTCCATGTTTTTTTACCTTTCTCTTTTTCTCCATCTCTACAGTTAAATCCTCAGTCCAGATGAACATTACCCTACCTAGAGTAAAGTAATTCCTAAAGGTCTCCCATGCAGTCTCAATGTTATAGCCAGATACAAGTTCTTAAAATACAAATGTGAACATTTCACTTCCTTAAACACTTAGGAAAGACTCTCAGAATCCAATCTAAAGACTCCTATGTGACCTACAGGGCTGTGGTACCTCCAGGTCCTGACTTCCCTCAATATGCCTCATCTCTCACTATATTCCCAGTTAGTCTAAGCTCAGTGTCTTTGAACCAGTTCACACTTGCTCCACCTCCTAGACCTTCACTTATGCTGCTCCTTCTGTCCAATTTTTCCAATTACAAGTTTCTTGTGGAAGTGTCCCCTTCATGATTCATATATGTATTACTACCCCTCTTGCATTGCTCACAATCACAATACTATAACTGCCTGATGACTATCTGCCCTCACACCCACACCCTATGCTCCCTAAAGGCTAACCATATGGCCATCTTGCTCACCTTTATATAATACATGGGACAGAGTAAACAGCCAATAAATGATTATTAAATAAACAAATTGTTAAACACATAAACATATAGACAAATATTCTGTGAAGTCCAAAAGCAAAATCTGTGTTTTTGTGTTTAAATGACCAAACAGCAAATTTAGCAATTACCACAATTACAACACAATCACAGAACAGGAAAAAAATATTTTAGCTACTTTCTTATTTAATAGTTGTCTATTATTTGCACACATAAAAAATTAAATTAAAAAATGTCAATACGAGTAATTTAGGATAGCTGAAGGACTAACAAGTTAAGACAATAGAAGTTGTATATATCAAATAAAAGTTGCTGACTCAAAATTCATTAAATTGTCAAATCACTAAATATAAGGTACACACTTCACTTGTAATGTGAATTAATATCATTTATTTACTAAACAATGGAATTCAAATGAATAGTTTGCCTAAAATTAGTATCAACATTTTATGAAAATAAGAACACTGGCATTATATTGTTTTTACCTTTATTCTCATGAGGATTATAACCATAAAACTTTTGGACTGCAAATTATACAATAAAATGTGAAACTACTTGAATTTAAAAAGACTGAACTTTAGCAGACCCAGTATCTAAAAGAAAGAGCAGTAATGTCTAATTAGTACAACCATAACTTACCCACATTGTTTTGAGGGCTAAGGAGACTAAATGTAGATTATCCTATTTCTCTTTCATACTTTTTAACTACTCACCATTTTAGGGGGTGGGGGGCCTAGATGAAAATGTCCACAGATGACCAAAGAAATTAATTTGATAATGGTACTAAATATGAACTGTGATATAAAAATATTACCGAAAGTAGATTTACATTTAAGTCATTATCAAGTTACTTTCTAAAATAAGCACTTTTTCACAAATTTAATCAAGAACCATTCTTATTAATATGAAAGTGAATGTCTACACAAGTGGGATGGGAAAGTTGCACAAATTTCAGTTAACAAGGATAGGACCTCACCCTTTGTTTTCTTGCATGATTTCTTCTTTTAAAAAATAAAATGAGTTTTTTCCTCATCACCTGGTTTCTAGAAGAGAAAAATAATGGTTGTATGACATTAAGAAAATGCACAATAATGCACTTTTCACTTTTCAGAGAAACTGGAAAACAAGCAAAGTTCACTTAAGAATATGTGATGTAATCAAATTCATTTTAATTTTTCAATCTGCAAAATAAGAATTTTGCAATAACTATAACTAAAATTCCTCCTGTTCTACAGCAAGATTTTAAGCAGTTAATTTTCGATTATTACATTCAATAAAAAGAAACCTTATTTTCAAGTTGTAATTAAAGTCACTGATTCTTCTTAAGAATGCTGGTAACATAAACCTCATTGGAGGAGGTGTGGTAGGTGGGAAGGAAATTTTTAAAGGTACTTCACCACCTTAGATATAATGTTGACCTCCTTTCTATAAGAATATATAGCAATATATTTAGAGGTGACTTCTGCTTTAAACAGATTTTCTTCAGTCACAGAAATGATAGTCCACTTTAAGAAGTAATGGAGGGCAAAGTGACAAAACAGGAAGATTCTCTTACAGTAATACAACAGTTTCGATTTTTAAACTATAAACAGTTACTTTAAAAAAAAACAACAACAATGACATGCAAGTTCAAATATAAGTATTTAGACCCCACCTACTTCCAGAACAGATTTCAAGCTGATTATTCAAATATAAATATAAAGCCAAGGCAATAGAAGTAATGTTTTGGATTATATGCCACTCAGGACTAACAGTGACAGTGACTCCATTCAAATAAGCATAAACAATCAGGAGCTATCTATTTGGAAAAGTAGCCAAGAGATGAAAAGAATTATTAAAAAGCACATTTGCTATTTCATACAAAGCAAATAATGGTGATGAAAGAAGAGCTACTGAATGATATGGATGCATGCAGCTGAATAAATGGTATTTCAGAAGGTGATATAGAGTATAAGTGTTACCATATATTCAGTTAACTAATTGCAATTATGCATTGCTCAAAAGCATATTTTAAGTTTCCTAAGAATAACAGTGAAGAAGTCAGCCAGTCTGTACTAAGTACAGAACAGTGTACTAGTAATAAGCACTGTAACAGACAATAGAGATAGCAGGAAATAAATTAGACACATCTGCTCTCCAGCTAATATTGGGTAGGGGGAGAGGGGGAGACAGAACACAAACATAACTAAAGCTTTGTGAAGAAAAAAAAAATCATTAAAAGTACCCAAGTAGATTTTTATCTGCTATTCTTACTTTTTAAAATGTTGAAAGAGCTAAATAGTTCCAAAACAAGGTGTATTTAGAACAGTTTTGCCTAACCTACTTCTAAGGGTTGTCCAGACCATAGTAGAGTCTCACAGAAAAACGGTAAGTATATGACTTTTACCATGAACCACACTAAACAAAAGTTAAACTTATTCAAATTTCAACTTTTCATGCATACTACCATGCAAATTATATTTGCCACCAGTTCTGCAAAGTAGTTAACTAATGTAATGCAAATACCCTCAGTAAGAAATTTTTGAAAAGAAAAAAAAAAAAATATATATATATAAACAGCAATGTGGTCATTAGTAACTATACCAGTAAATAATTATTATAATGTTCTGGTTGTACTAATAATACATATAAAGTAGAAATATCACATTTTTGTTACAAACTAAGAATAATTCACCTAAAATTCTCTTAAAGTATGATAATTTTTTTAAAGGTTTATCTAGCTTCCTCTCTTCAATCAGTTCAATAAATTAGGTTTTTTTCACTTATTTTCTTATTTCAAAATCTGCATCCATAAAGGCCTGGTATCTAGGATGAGCAAGGCTAAGCAAACTACAGATTGGAGCAGTCTCCTCACCCACGTGAGGTGACTTGAGCGCTTCCAAGGCACCAGGACATTAAATGGCAGAAGGGTCTACAAATACCGTCATTAGCAAGATCATGGAAGGGATTTCCCTAGAATAGGATTTTGAATAATGATAAAATGATCCGTGGCACTTCTACTTTGCAATGGCAGATGTGGCTTGGTGGGGGACGGTGTCATCACTAGTCTTAAATGAAAAAGCTTCATTATCTTACTTCATCATGCGCCTTGCAGGTACTCCACTGAAAAAAAGACAAAACAGGAGGCAAAAAATTCAAGCCTCAAGGTAAGCCATTTCAATGTTAAGTATTCACCTTTTTTACTAGCAGATTATAAAACCAGCTAGTTTTATGCAATAAATTTTATTTCATTTTTTGGCCTCGGAAATTCAAAGCTGTCACCCCAACCCCCAAGAAGCCAGAGGAAGATAACATATAGTAAAACGACAGCAAATTACACAAATCTAAAACACACCTATACTACATTATAATAATATGTCAGCAAATAACATATAACAATCTCTTTATAGAATGTATGGTCTTTAACTGAAGATCTCCAAGATGATAAATACTTACGTCTTGATGTTTTCATGGTACACCTTGGTGTCTGATGGCTGGTTATAAAGTGGCTATAAAATAAACATTTATATATAGTGTTACATATGTCTATGAGAAACAAAGGAACAATTTCTATTTTAATTTAACTTTAGATAAAGTATTAATAGAGCTATATAATACATGCCCTGCCAGAATCTCTGGACTTGAGTGCCCTCAATAACTGTTTACCCTATCTCCTCATAACACCAAACCTTTACATACTGACAGTGTGTAAATCCACAATAAATGCATTCACTCAGACTTTTAATTTAAAAGTTAAAAGAATATTAAGCACCATCTCATCCTAACTGTATGACTTCAAAGGGCTTTTTATTTGTTATTTCCTTTTTCTTCTACCCTGGATTGATTAAGCAGTTGCTCAAGCAACACATTCTTAGAATAATGCTTCTACAAAGTAGCTAAGTTCATGCATGATTATCATCAATTTTACCAAAATTTTCTTCCCAGCTACATCCCTCTCATTCCAGAGTAAATATATTGCACCCCCTCTTAGCCTAATAGAAACTACTATTGAAAAAGCATTATAAATGAAAAAAGAAATTCTTACTTACCAGTTCAACTTTTGGGCCAAGACCTTCAAATATTTTATGAGCTTCTTCTGCTTTTTTCTAGAATAAAAACATTATTGTGCTACATAACTAAAAATTACATTATTCCAAATCAAAATCAATACATATTTGACAATATTTACCTAAATGTTACTCTACACATTGAACTTAATCTTTATTTCCAAATATTCCTCTTACATGTCATATGCTGAAATATGCTCTAATTTTATTTTCATAGTTCCTCACCAAAGTAGGTCAAAGCTTAACATTTGTACTGAACGCAACACCTCAAGAATTGATAAATTCTTAAAATCAAAAATTAAGATTCTAGGTATAACACTGCATACCCTGAAATTTATATAATGCTATAAACTAGTATTATCTTAATAAAAATTTACTGAAATAAAGATTCTAAGGAGGAGGCCTAGAGATCTACTATTTAAATGAATCAAAATCTAAATAGTTTAATTCATAATAAGTAATGAAAATTTAAAACCATAAAATTACCTATCTTTACTACAGTCCAAAAAATTAAACTCTGAAGAAAAACTGAAAGTGAACTTACTTTCTAGTCACAATAAAACCTTGGTAATAGCCAAAAATAGAGGAAACAATTAGCTTGAGTTACTCAAAAGCATTTGATGGCATATAAATGTTGAATTACATATTATTGTATGCCATTTTCAAAGGTACAGTAATCTACAAGGTACTATATAACAGAAACTTTCCCTTACTAGACAAATAATGTACACTGAAATTACATGTCTAGGAAATGTGTCCATAGTGCTCACATTCTCAATAGCAATAATCACTCATTGACTGCTGCTGCAACTCCCACAATGCATTTGTAGCTGCAAAGCTCTCCAGAGCTTTTGCTATGACACACAAAGGAGAATGAATGTCAATCAGCATTGCCCAAGTGTAAAGACCTTCCCTTAAATAAATATTCTCCCCTCCACCTTTATCAATCAAATATTTATTTAGTATAAATAATGTGAAAATAACTGTTCAATTAGCATAAGAAACACAAATATTGTGTAAAACAATTTCCACACTCCAAAAATCTTAAAATGTTAAGAGGAGAATATATAAAGAATGTCAAATACAAAACTATAAAAACCCATTAAATTTGAATAGCAAGTTACTTCTAAGATGGTTTTTTTTCTTTTCTTTAAAGATTTGTATCTTTTTGTATACAAGAGCTGGGATATAGGCCAGAGATGTGGAGTGGTGAGACAATTCACTACAGAATAGGCAGGCTGACTGAAATTCACTGCTAAAGGGAGCAGTCAGTGAGGCAAGAGAGGTCTGCTGGGGATCAAACTCCTGTTGCAGTGGCTGCAGATAGATTCATAGTGCCGAGACTTAACCCCTTGAGCCAGGGAGGCCCTCTATAGATAGTTTTAAGAAATGGTTTATTAACCTTGGCTCTACTATTTTGTGCCAAGTAATTATTTGTTCTGAGGTCTGTTCTACACATTGTAAGATATTCAGCAGTATGCTTTGGCCTCTATCCACTAAAAGCCAGTAGTCCTCCAACCTTTCCCCAAGTTATTCCAAATACAAAGGTTTCCAATTGAAGTGGGGGGGAAACTGTTCTAAGGAACCTATTAACCCCAATAAGCCAAAATGTAATTCAAATTTATCAGGGCATATAGTAAATAACACAAATATTTTCACAGATGATAAATTTTAAAATCTCTAGATCATGAACAAGAAATGTTAACCAATAGTCAATGGTTTTCAAATCTGCTTTAAGACAATCTATATTATAGTCTATACCAAGAAAAGGTAGACTAAGTGAAATTGTACACAAATAACAGAAACATGTAAAACTATATTACCAAATATATTTACTAGTATTCTATTACAATAAACTTTTAAAAGGACAGTTACTTTTTAAGGATTTATTTTTATTTATTTATGCATAATAAGGACTGGGGTGCAGGCCAGAGGTGTGGCGATGAAAGGATTCACCAGAGACAGAGTGGGAGCAGAACAGGCAGATCTACTAAAATACAGTGCTGAAGGAAGCAGTGGACGAGACAAGAGAGGTCCACTTTGCCATATGTGGGTCAGCTCGGGGATCAATATAGTGCTGTAGTGGCTGATGATAGCTTCATGGTGCTGAGACTTTAACCCCTGTGGCACCAGGGAGACCCAAAACAATGTAATTTTAAAGATTTTGATTCATATGTTGAATATGTTCTATATGCCAGGTACTTGCTAGACATAAAAAAAAAGAAAGAGTAAGATAGCTCTTCCTTGTATAGAAGGATAAGAGGTCTTGAAAGGATTCAAATAGAAAACTGATACTTATGCTGGGTCTTGAAGTCCAAGTGCCCTGGACATAGAAAGACAAAATACTAAGCCAACTGAAGATAGAAGTAACATCTTAAGCTAAAGTACTAAGAACTTAAAGAGGACACTCAAAACCTATTCTATTAGGATATTACTAAGAAAGGAATATCAGGCTAAGACCAGGCAGGCAGCCACATAGGTAGATCAAAAATTGGGGGTAGTTGGAAAATCACACAAGTCAATGTGATGGATGGGTTAGGAAGAAAAAATGACTGAAGGAAGGAAATTCAATAGCCTGTGTGAGAGACGATGGTTCAAACTGAGCCATCAGTTTGAAAGGAAGAAGAGTGTAAAAGCTAACCAGATATTTAGGGGGTAGGACTAATGCACTTCACTCATTAACTAAATCCAGACTGGCAAAGAAAGAAAATTCCCAGGTCACATGCAAGGCAACCAAAGATTGGTGTGTCCAAGTATACTCTCTATAGTCAACCTCTTCTTTCTTCTTGAATAACATTATATTGCAAATCATTCCATCAAAATATAAACATGTTTTTGAAAACTACACACAATCCCTTTTCTATGTGTATTATAATTCTATAAATATTCTTAAAACCTATTATCTGGGGAAGGTAACAGCAAACTGAACTTTTAAAATAGTGCAGGAAGGCCCTCCCTGGTGGCGCAGCGGGTTAAAGCACAGCAGTGAGAAGCTAAAGCCACTTCCGCATGAGTTCGAATCCCGCCTGCCCCGGAGGTGACCACATGGCGTGGCAGACCTCTCTGGCCCGCTCACTGCTCCCCTCAGAGGTGTACTTCATAGATCTGCATGTTCTGTACCCCACTCTGTCTCTGGTGAATCCTCTCACCCTCCGCATCTCTGGCCTGTACCCCAGTTCTGTACAAATAAATAAATAAATCTTTAAAAAAAAAATAGTGCAGGATTCCTCATGTTTATTGCTGCTTTATTCACAATTGGAAACACATGGAAACAGCCCAAATGTCCAAAAGTGGATGACTGGATTAAAAAGATGTGGTACATATACACAAAATATTACTCAACAACCAAAAAAAAGAAACACATGTCTTTTGCAACAACATGGATGGAACTGGAAAAGATCAGTGCTTTTGTGAAATAAGCCAGAAAGAAAAGGAGAAATACTGGATGGTTTCTCTCACAGCAGGAATATAATGGAACAGGCGAGAAAATAATGATAAACAGCTATATACCAGAGAAATTTGTGGAGATGGAGTAGGGAATGGGATCAAAAACAGTGGGGGGAAGGAAATGCAATGGACTATGGTGATGGCACATGGGTGATTTGGTGATGGGAAGCCCAAGGGAATTGCAACTGAGATGGAAAAATGAACAAAATGTAAAAATAAACTATTATATTATTTAAAAAAAAAAGTGCAGGAGTAGAGTGTTTATAGAGACTAAAAGACTCAGCCTAATGTTTAAATATGATGCAAAGCAATTTTTCTCTCAGGAAGTGAGCTCTAAAATTAACCATTACTTTTGAGTATTTTCTTGCCACCCACTAACTTTCCAAATAAATACATATATGTCTGATACAGGATAATGGCTACTGTCTCCTTAGCCGCATTAGGCTTAATTTCTAGCCAGTATAGGCTGCAGCCAAGTAAGAAACAAGAGCGAGATGTATTCTTGTCATCCATCACCCATCTCTCCTTGCCAATAATGGTGGCAGAACAGATAAGGTGATTCATTAAAGAAAGCTAAAGAGGCAGTGAAGGCCTGACAAATGGCAGCATGGTAAGGCAGGAAGACCATTGAGGAGTCAATGGTGAGAAAGCCTGTGTTCCTGGTACAGCCCTGTACCCAGCACCACCCTTCCAGGAACCTTTGCAACAATGCTATGACTCATAAGCCTAGTCATGGCAGATGTTAGTAAGGCATGCAAATTTTTTTTAAAAAGATAATCTTTACAGTTACTATGAGTTATTATAAAACTAACATTCAGCCTTCAAATAAAGTTGTTTTCATATACTTAATAGAATAAAGAATATATAAATTCTAAAGTGAACAGAGGTTTGAAAGGGACTTTCAGTTTTGTTGATGGATACGGAAGAACATTTAATATACTTATTAATGAAAACATATATACAAAAATTAAACACACACTAACCCCACTGACAACTTGTTCAATAGTATTTAGCCCTCACATTACAGTCAGGCAACCAAAGAACTCACTAATATAGGAACCACTTATTAGGTTTATGCGAAACGGCTAATCAAGAATTCCAATCAATTAATAAAAAGTACTAAATTCAATTTATTTGAAAATAACATTTAGAAAGAAGTTACCATTATTTAAGATTCTTTTCCACCATTATTTTAGTTCTAATCCAGATTTATTTTATCTCTGAGTTCACAAATTAGTAATAAAGCCAATCAGTCCACAAAATCATTGTTCTACTGAGGACTGTTTAAAGCTGTTTTCATTTAGGGAGAACCCCTATGTTCCCAGTTTCTCTTAAACAAAAGCGCACCCTCCAGTCTGTGGCATACCCCTGGTGTGACCACCATGCCAGTGTGCATCTCGGCACACTGGCATGAGGCAGGCCTTGTCACTACTTTCCCTTATTACCCTTTATCTTTACTGGACTGTTTTTCATAAAGAAATCTGCTGTTAATCCAATAAACTGGACTATGTTTGAATACAGCCAAGAAAAAACTTAATAGTCCACATTTTTAACCACCTGTTACAAAAACCGTATATATAACCTTCAGTAACCTATATATATAAATACATGTATATCTAACTACAAGATTCTTTCTATAAATGTTTAATGACTAATTCATGGTTGTTTTTCTTAGGGCCAATTTTTTTTAGGATCTGAGCTACTACAAAGTTAGAGGTAGCTCTTTGATATGACTCCACTCACTGCAAAGCAAATAAACTGAATTAACCACCCCAACTTCTAGCACTGTTAGCTAGTAGGCATATTTTCTTCCATAATGCTTAAAAGCATATTTTTCTTTTTTGGATTGGGGAGTACTGAAAGCTCACTGTTAAGCAGCTCTTTTAGAAGTTTCCTGATTTTTGTTTTTACCTGAATTCACTTTCCCTGTAACAATTCATTCCTAAGTTATATTCTGGCTAAAAACTGGCTTCAACATCACAAAATTCATAGAATTGAAGACTGGCTTTCCTAAATCCATTTATACATTTAATGAAGAATATGAAAGAAATTACTTTAATAAAAAAAGGAAAGCAAAGGCTACTTAAGGTCAACTATAATTCAACAATAGCCAAGCAATCAATTCTAAAGCTGATAATGGAAGTCACTTCCATATCCAATGATATTTGTCATTAAATGCCCCTTATGAAGTAAGAGAGTACAGAATGGCTGTTTTGTATTATGTTCTACTAAACTTGTTTGCCAGTATTTCCATAAATAGGAGAGAGACTCAGCTAATGTAATTATATGCTGATTAAATAATATTTATAGAATATAACATGCAAAATAAAATGTTAAATAATTTAAGACACAATTATAAACTTTTTTAGTCTATAAGGAAAAAAAACCAAAGTTTTTAGCCAAAGTTTAAAAAAATTAAAAATTCTAACAGTAATCAGGCTTAAATACAAATTAACACCACCACAAAGGACTAGTAACTAGAAAAGGCAGTCAAGTAGTCTTAACGGCCTGTATAATGAGAAATGGCATGAGCTTACCCGATTTTCATCATAAATAATTTGGACAATACTGCGATGCTTCTGCTCCACAGGAGGAGGGGACACAGGCTTCTCAGGCTCAGGGGGTTTAGCTGCCTCTTCTTCGAGCTGTTGCTAAGAGACCCAGAAAGGAAGAGTCAGGCATCTGCTGCATGTCATCCCCACCAATAATTAACCGCCAGAGATAACTCATGCTACTGAGCCATGACTTGCTGATTCTATAGGGTAATCATTTAATCTACTGGCGTCTAATAGACCCAAAGGGAACTAACAAATCCAATCAGATTTATTTTGACTAATATAACTAAAAACATAAATCACCATTAGGTAAATATATACCTTTTATATTTTCATCCTGATTATTTAAAGCAAAATAAGAAAAATTAAACATCTATCATCACAGTAACATTCTGTAGCACTAGAAAATAAAACACTTCTTTTTATAGATTTACATACTGTGTTAATATCTGATGGGAAGAGCATAGAACAGAGATTAAGAGTAAATCATTAACTCAGCATAGCATATTGCCTACTTCTATCCCTCACCCCTCAGCCAATGTCTATGTTTTGTAGTCAAGAACTATCAAACAACACAAAAAGATTGATTGTTGATGAGTGCAATATAAAGCCAAAAGCTATCTCTATTATTCTGCCTGAAGTGGAGCCTTAGTGGTAGTATGCTCCTAAAGCCTTTCTAGGTGCCTACTCTATCTTAAGCAAGTAGCTAAGCCATTTTTATATAAAGTAGGGATGTTAATCCTATCATACAGTTTAAGAGTCTAAAAGATTCAAAATATGTCAAGCATATTACAACCATCCCTTCAGTAAATATTACCTACAAGTATTACTGAAGTAAGCAGGATTTTGTCTACTCATTGTTTTTTATCCCCAGTACCTTAACTTGTGCCTCATATTTAGGTATAAGTGCTCAACAGATAGTCACATGAAAACAGTATAAGTTCACTAAGATAATGAAAAAGACATTAGGTTAAAATCTCATATATAATAAAGGCCTATGGTAAAAATGATCTGTGCTACTTAGACTAAAAGGCTAGGCTCCTAGTGATTGGGTTAGACTACGTCCCAAAATAAGAATAAAAATCCTCCAAGAAAAGCTTTGAGGACCATCCTAGAACTGAAAGTTCCTTTGCAATCTGCTACATGTGTAAGCAAAAAAAAAATATTTGGAGTTCTGAGGTCATTTCTATGGGTAACGGTTCTTCAACCACGCCACTTCTTTCCTGCTCACAGGGACTTCTTTTACCTATTAAGCAGGTATAGAGAAAGGTACAACTAGGCTTTCAAAAATCATATTTTGTTCTTACTATCAAAATAGTGCTGCACGAAGCCACTGTAACAAAATTAAAAACAAGATTAAAATTTCCCTTAACTATCTTGTTCTTTAACATTCACTTTACAATAATTTTGCCATATTTTAAAAATAAATTTAGTTGGAAATTTTATTAAAATATAAAAATATGAATCAACACAAGATGAACACAAAAATTTTAATACTGTGTACTTTCCAGCTGTGTTTTGTTTTTGTTTTTGTTTTGGCTGAAGTTGTCTTTCATATTCCTCAATAAAATGTATGGTACTAAAAATTTCAAAAGTATCATGCATTTCAGTATTTTTTTAAAGATTTATTCATTTTTATGCATACAAGAACCGGGCACAGGCCAGAGATGGGGAAAAGGGGGATGCGAGGATTCACCAGAGACAGAGTGGGGAGCAGAACAGGCAGACTGCTGAAGCACACTGCTGAGGGGAGCAGAAGCGAGACAAAAAGGTCTGCTGTGCCATCTGGGTCAGCTCCTTAGCTAGCTGAGATGGAATGAATTTTGAAGTAGCTGTGGGTAGCTTCATAATGCTGTGGCTTAACCCCTATTTTTCAATACTTCTAGTATTATAGTAGACTACATGCCATTATTTGTTACATGCCATATATTAAGCAGTACTTTGATTATCTAAATCAAATACTTTATCTAAATATATGTCAAATCTAAAATTTAGTGTTTGAAGTATTGTTGACAATTTATAAGTAAAAAGTAAAGAAAACTAAAGGAGAGAAAAGAAAATTTACCCTGCAGACTCAACAAATTGACATATTTAGGGGATTGACATATTTAAAAACAAAAAAAAAAGAGTATCTTTTAAAATGACCGAACAGATTAAAAATGAGCCAAACAAAAATAATGATAAAAATGTTAAGGCTCTCCCTGGTGGTGCAACAGGTTAAAGCACCACATTATGAAGCTCTCTGAAGCCACTGCAGCAGTCCCCAGCCAGGGAGCTGACCGATGTGGCATGTCAGACCTCATCTGTTCCGCCCACTGCTCCCCTCAACAGTGTACTTTTGTCAATTTGCCTGTTCTGCTCCCCACTCTGTCTCTGGTGAATCACCTCACCCACCACACCTCTGGCCTATACCCCAGTTCTGTAAGCATATATAAATGAATCTTTAAAAAACAAAAAAAGTTAATTATCAAAACTGAAGGTGCATTTGACAGCAGATCAAATATAACTGAAGAGAAATATAAACTGAAAGATCAAACTGAAGAACTCCACAATGAGTCTCAAATAAGAAAAATAAATGGAAAAGAAAGCAATTAAGAGACATGATGGTCAAGAGCAGTAAGATGTTATATCTAAGTGGAAGTTCAGAAGGACATAACAAAGGAGCCATGGGACATTTTTACAAAAAAGGGAATGGCTTAGAATTTTCCAGAACTAATGAAAAACTAACAACATATTCAGGAAGCCCCAAGACTCTCAAGCTGTATAGATTAAAATAAAACACAGTAAAAATAATAGAACCCAAAGAAAAAAGATATTAAAAACAGTCAAGACAGAAAAGTCAGATTATTCACAAAATAATAAAAATTAGACTGAGGGTTGATTTCTTAACAATGGGAGCCAGAATAGAGAAAATAATCACATACCAAATGAAAATATCTTTCAATAAATATGCATAAAGACAATATTTAAAAACCAATCAAATACTGAATTGCCAAATAATAGGAAATACTCATGGATATTCTTCAAGCATTCTCCAAATCTACATTGCAAGAAAGCATTCTGAGCAAATAAGATGACAGCTATGTGGGTAATCCTAAATGAACATTGCCTATATAAAATAATAGAATAAGAACTAAAATAAAAGCCTACAAGAGCATAGAAGTAAAAATTAAGAAGTTCTGGCCCTGGTGGCACAGCGGGTTAAAGCACAGCACTAAGCTGAAGCCACTTCAACACGAATTTAATCGCCACCCTGAAGATGAACCACATGGCGTGGCAGACCTCTCCTGACCCGCCCGCTGCTCCCCTCAGCAGTGTACTTCCTCGATCTGTCTGTTCTGCTCCCCACTCTGTCTATAGTGAAGCCTCTCGCAGCCCCTGAGCCTCTGACCTGTACCCCAGTTCTGTATGCACAAATAAATAAATCTTAAAAAAAAAATTTAAGAAGTTCTGCATCTTCATACTAATTAAGAAGGCTGTTGATACCAATTAGTTTTAAGCTGCATGCTAAACATATAAAATTTCCAGAGAACCACTAAACTTAAAGAGGTAACATATAATATCCAAACTAGTAGGATAAGAGTAAATGGAATAAGACAATCAATCCAAAATAAAAACTGGGGGGGGGGGGGGAGATGCTGATATCAGCATAAAAAAGGGTGAAGTCTGTGACCCTAAATATTGTTAAAGCAAATTCAATGATTTAAAAAAAGTAGGTAATACATCATGCCTAAGTTAGATTAAACCTAGAAAGCACAGGTGATTTAACACTAGCAAAATAGTTTGTTATACTAATTCAATGAAGGAGAAAATGATACTAATATGAAGAAAAATCACCATTAAAAAATTCAACATCATGAAAAAAATCACTTCCTTCTAAGACTGTGTTTATGGTTCTCTTTTATTTAAAGATCATAGATAAAGAGTAGTATATACTAGGTAAATAAAGCACAGGTAGAAAATGATACACTTTCTACTAGAATTGACTAAGCATTTGCTATATGCTTAGGTTTGTAGGAAGTTTATACATAAAATATGACCACAAGTATGAAGTCAGCCTTCATAGAACTAGAACTGGTTTGATGACTTCTGAGAGAATTGCTAGTTAAATGGCATTGCCATTATAAGCTCCAAGTAGATGGAATTTTTGTTTTTGTCTCCTGTGACTCCCTTCTCCCCCTGCCACCAACTTTTGATGATATCAAGAGTTTCAAGTTTGAGGGAGTCATGTCTTAAAATTTTTTATGCCCTTAATTCAGGTTACTATATTAAGGATCACAAAGGTAACTGAGGCTTAGGTTCAATTTTTTAATGAGTTATCAAATTACTGATGCTCATTTTGATCTGATACATTGAAAATTTACTGTCAAAATACTGAAATTTAGGACCCTCCCTGCTGGCGTAGCAGGTTAAAGTAATGCACAAAGAAACCAAAGCCACTTCCACATGAGTTTGATCTCTGCCTGCCGCACCTCTGGCCTGCACACCCCAGTTCTGTAGGCACAAATAAATAAATCTTAAAAAAAAAATTCAAGTTTAATCTCTTAGACAAAAGATTAGCTGACAAATTCTGAGAGTTTGGTATGAGTTATTTATGAATAAGTACTTATTTGGAATTTATAAAGAAGTGAACATGTTATTCTTCAACCTAGTGAAACAGATTCCCTTATTGTCTCCATTATACAGAAACTCCTTGATGCTCAAGAACAGTTTCTTATGCAATTCAAGTAATACAGCTGGCAAGAAACAGAACCAGGACTCAAATCCTTAAAAAAAAAAACTTAACATACTATGAATTGAAGGGCACTTCCCAACCTGACAAAGGTTTTATCTATAAAATTGATAATGGGCCCTCCCTGGTGGTGCAGTGGGTTAAAGCACTGCACTATGAAGCTAACACCACTTCAGCACAAGTTTGATTCCAAGACAGGAAGGTGACCCACATGGCACACCAGGCCTCTTTTGACCGCCCGCTGCTCCCCTCAGCAATGTATTTCAGTTAATCTGCCTGTTCTGCTCCCCACTCTGTCTCTGGTAAATCCTCTCACTGCCCTTTGCACCTCTGGCCTGTACCCCAGTTCTGTATGCATAAATAA